TTTGGGTATTGTAAGGAACTAACATTACGTATTTACAATGTTGTGAATCGTGTTTATTCAACTCCTTTATCCGATCGATTCGCCTCCGATACAAGGCTCCCCTTCTCTCAGCAAGACGACGGCCGAGCAAATCCTCAACTCCCTCTTCATTCACACGTATATGTATCTTGGATTAACCTCACACCTAGATCTCGATGTTAGCGCAGTTATGACTCACACATCCGAGCTATAAATACACACGCACAAACCCCACATGGAACCAGTATCAAAAACCCACGTCTTCGTCAAGTCATCGAATAAACGTTTGACTCTCTGCCTTTCCACCGACTTCATCTTTGTTGGGTAACTCGTGATATTAGGCATCTCAAAGATAATTTCAATGTGCGTAGATGTGTTGCTGGCTGTGCACCAACACCGAATTGAGGAGCGGGAGCCGTGAGCGGTTTCGCTATCGGTGCGACGTGGCACAAGTAGGAGAAACTCAGTAACTGCGTGGGCGTCATCACACCCCTCACAGATACGATCAGATTTTTTGTTCACATTGATAACAATGGTTAAACCCAACACTATTTACCTGATCAAAAGATGGTTAAAGGGGAATAGAAGTTAAGGAGTTCGAACGTAATGAAATGTCAACCACAGTCATTGGATGTCCACTTAATTCCACTGCCGTGGGGCAAAAGTAACTGGATATTAACACGATCGCATTTGAACTAAGGGGAACTTAGAAGCACTGGACAAATCGTTGAGAGAAACGCTACAAAATGCTTTAAAAATTAAACAACACGTAGTGATCCAAATGGAGGTGAATTTTCATGGGGACGCGTGACAGTGAGAATGAGAAACTACCTGTCAGTTAAGAAAACAAATGGTGCGAGAATTTGCACAGCCTGGTCTGTAATTCGACGCTGTTTTTTAGCAGAAGAACTAGGCAAGAACTCAGCCTCTGACTAAATTATTGGTGCTTGGTGCTACAATTGGGTTTAGGTGTACTAGAGAGGTAGGCCTTAAGCATTCAAGAACATGCATGTCGGCAATGATTGAAGCGTGCCTTGATTGCTTTGGAGACCTTAAGATACCACTTTGTTTGGTTTGCGAATTGAGTGTACCAAGGAGATTTCGTTACAGGTTAAGACATCAAGGCAATAATTGTAACTGTTCCGAGTATGCATTCAGCAGACAAGAGTGAGCTGCTTACCTATACTGCATTTTGTGGGTGAGATATGCCACGTGTTCGCCCAAGATTTGTCCACTGCAAGGCGGTGTGATCGACGTTGGATTGGGGAAATTCGCAATGCTAAGCACTACTGTTTGTTGCAACGACGGCCAATAGGAACGCTGGTATTTACCAAATCAACTGCATGTGTTTCGGTTGGTTGGCGTGTGCGCCCAAACCCGTAAACACACTTGGGATACATGGAGAATTGCAATTACTGGAAGTACAATAAGATTGCATTTGTGAAGAGAGCACAATGTGTGAAAGAAGTGAGCGCTCGCGAAAGCACTTTAAAGTAAGCACGTAACACGGTTGTGCAACGCAGAAGCCAAAAGCATCGAAGCAAAGCTTGCTAGTAAAAAATGTAAGGGCTGACACCGCAAAAGTTTTGTAGTTGCTTGGGGATTAGTGTGCAAATTAAAACTGGTCCAATGATAACTGTTATAGGTCCTAAAGTAATCCTCTTGTCCCTTTTGAATTTTGTAGACGTTTTCTTGATTACCATTCTTTTTTGCCACTGAACTTGTCATTTTTATTTTGGAATATTCTTCTGACATTAAAAGTAATGGATCAAGAGGTTCCACTATTGTGTTGTTATCAACGCTTATACTTCGAATGTGGCCGACTGTCACAAGCAGACATGATCCTGCCATTTAAGGACTCACAAAGTAATGTGGAAACAAGAACGGACAACATACTAATATGCTGGAAATATTACCGTGAGACATCCAAAGTGAAGGTGTCTATGCTTCCAAATCTATCTTCTAAACGTTTAATTCACATTAGTCCCATGACCATTTGAAATGGAAAAAGGAATGGAAGGAAGCAAGAGTAGGAAATCAATATTTTCGAAAAACGTAGCTGATGGACTGAAAAATCATGAGCTTCCTTATGCAAATCTGACATTGACCACAACTCAGCACCTGAAGGTGTCCGATAATCTCCCGTTGTAAACCGTTAGATTATGGGTTTGAACGCCAAAACATGACGGCGAGATGTGTCATGCCTAATCTTTACTGGGCATGAGAGCGTCCTCGAAGTAAAAAAGGAAAATCTAAGCCAACCAGCACGTAATAATTAAAGTTGTGGACACTTTTTAGCACAGTAATCAAACCAAAAGCCTTCATTTTAATTCTTGAAAAACATTTATCTAAACTTGTTTGGAAGCTACGGGATTGCTATACGATTTGGTGACAAACTTTGATGGTTTAATATTAGGTGTATGGCTTAATTTGTACAGATTTTGCTTCGAGCTTAAAATTATATCTAAAATTGGAATATTTTCATGATCTCTTGTGGTTTTAAAAGGATCGGACGAAAATTTTTAGAATATCGAACAAGTCTACATGACTTACATAACCTCTTAGAATAGCAGAGCTTGAGATGGTAACTGATTAACAACACATTCGGTTGTACTGCATTTTATGCGGATTTCAATGCTTCTAAAGTACAGGAATGAATTTGTAGTGTTTTTGGTGTCCTATGAAACGGTTGGTTATTGGCACAAACGTTTTAGAAGTGGTAAGACATGAAGGCTGTGCTTTATTACGAACCCCTGGAAATCGGTCAGTCAATGACTGCGGAACCCTACAGCCGACAATTGAACAAACTGATCGAAGAACTTGATCAAAAAAGGCCATTTACTGGATAAGAAAGCAGGTAAGTCATACTGCTGCATGATAACACTCGACCTCACGTTACTCGCGCGGCTCAGAAGATGATCGTGAACTTGAGATGAGAGGTTCTCCCCCACGCAGCACTTTCACGCCACTTGGCTCCATCCGACTACCATTGGTTTCAGTCGATGGAGCATGCCTTAGTGGGTGAAGACCTCAAAACGCCAGATGATGTTTCTAAATTCGTCGATGGCTTAAATTTTTCGAAGCCTGCAAGTTTCTTTTGCGGCGGCATTTGCACGTTACCTGATAAGTGGTGCGAGGTCATAGAAACCGGTAGGAAATATTTCCACGATTAAGTTCGCTGTCCTCTATTTTTATACCAAATAAATTTGCTCAAAAATCTATATAAATAATGTCACACATCTAATGAAAGAGAACAGCTGAATGAGGCAAATGGGCCACGAAGGTACTCACGCATTGCCGTATAACGAATCGCATCGGGAGCGGGTTGGAATTTGCGTTTGAACTGACAAACAACATCAAATTGAGGTATGAATTCACATTCGCCTTTAGCGTCAGTGCCGATGGCATGTGAATGATGAAAACCCCAATTCCTCATGAATTACCAGTATTTATGATTGGAAATTTCATCTTACATCGGAATTTAAACAAGGCTGACTGGGGATGTTTCCTGCATATAGAATTTTATTTCGAATCGAAAATAATTAAGACCGATGACATAAATCTTGGTCGAGCTCAAGATTTCTGACCTTGAGTGAAAGGCTGGCTGCGAAAAATGAACATAAGTTGGTTAATTTTCCACGTGTGTTGGGTTGGTGACAAAAGTGTTAACATCTGAATCCATCAAGAACCAAATAGCAAATGATAGCTCACACGCAAAGAAGCGATGGTTCGGATGCCTGTCGGAAGGGGTAGCTTCTCTAGCCAAGTTTCTTCGCCTAACTGCTGATTAAGTACAGGAGGGTTCAAGCTGTCGAATGATTTTTCGAAGGCTTCTGTAGGGGATGTCAGCATTCCCCAAAACAACTTAATAAATTAACACTGAGGCTTGACCTCTATTCATTTGGCTCTATTAACACGATCATGACCATTGGAACGTGCACTCGACTTTAACCTTAGCCTCAACTTGCGCTAGGACTTTCAGCTGGCCGTGCAGGCTCTTTGCACGAGCACATGTCTGTCCTACTCTGAGAATTTGTTGACGTGGTAGACAGGGGTTCGATTACTTGAGATAAGGGATCCACAGATTTGTAGTACCAACATATGTTCTAATGGCACATTTTGAGAAAAGGTTAACTGGAGGGACCATCGTCGCCCTCAAAAAGATTTTTCATGAAACGCTTCGATTCTGGGAAAACCCGATGGCAAGGCATTGATATTTTAGGATGCGTCACAACAGGTCGGACAATTTAAGTGCGATCTCAAAGAAAGGTTATCGACTAAGGCAAAGAGGTTTTAAGCTGTAGCTATTCTGGTGATTGTAGGTGGCCCCCGGCACTGAGGCAAATGAGCCAAATAATTCACCTGTAACCAGATAGGGAAATAATGTCTGCATGAATTATTTGGGACCACAAACCACATCGAGCTAACGAATTCAGTACCATCATTCACAGAGTTGGTGTACATTCTAGGAAAAGGCCATAATGCATTTTGCCAGTGCGAGTTAATGTCCACGACACCTTTGCATTATTCAGGGGCTTGGTGTCAACACAAATGCATTCAGTAAATCAAAATCCACATTTACAAAAGCGCGACGCGCTGCTGTTCGCTGCGCCCCAGACTGTCCCTCGCGATCTCGGGAAGGGCTCACCAAATGTGCATTAAATAACTTCAGGTAGCGGGTAATTTGCCCAGTTTGAGAAAGCAGCTCCATTCGATGCTCCTAAGGATTTAACTAAGCCATGTTCTGAGATGTGCAAATGATGTACAATTCAATTGCTTGTGTTGTTGCATTGCCACCAGCAAACATTCACCTTCAAGGCCTTAGGAAAGAAAAGCGAGGTTGATGAAAAGTCTACGAGCCGTCGCTCAGATTGCCCCAGAGGCCCCTGTTTCGTTCCCTTTGAAAATGGACAAATAAGAGCTTCCAAAGAATTGGCAAAAATAGTTTATTTCTAAGTAAACTTGGCAGCCGTTCGTTTCGTCTAATCATTGGAGGTAGCCAGAACCCGCCTTTTTCGGATGACACCCTCAACCTCTTCTTTCTGGCGTTCGACCGCACCGACGATCTTGTGCGTCTGTGCATCATCGAGGCGCTTTTTGCCAGGTCTGCGAGAGGCGTCCGTATCCACCCACTGCATCAATTTCTTTAGTATTAGAATATTGGCGGCGAGAAAGAGGAGAGACGCTGCCCACAGGGCGAGCCACAGACCACGGCCCCAAAAGCGGCCACCCTGCATCTCGTGCAGATAGGCCATCGACAGCCAGCAGCCCTGGCTCCCCAGCCAGAGGCTGGCCAAGCCCACAAACCGACGAATGGCCGTGGGACTAAGGCCCAGTTTCGACGCCAGTGCCGCGAGGAGTCCCTTCGCTTTGCTGTGTTTCTGTGTCGATTCCACGTGAGCCAGCGCCGCGGGCAGAAGAACAAGCCACCAAAGAAAGTATTGAGAAGTACACACCTAGACAAAAAACAATGCGACCAACAGCTAGGTAAGGCTAATGGCCAAATGGCCTTACTCTGGAAAAGCTACACGTGTAATTTTAGATGGCCAATTTAACCACTTCGAACAATCACGAGGAATGTTCTTAAATTTTAGGAACTTTTTGGAATTTCAGTCTTCGAGTGTGATTGAGAGATTCTGGTGGCGGGGTATGGGTACAACTTCCACCCATGGAAAAATCAGACGAATTAGTGCTGAGAACAAAAAGAGTTCAAAAGTATTTTATTTTGTTAGAATATTGGTAGTGGATATAGGACCACAGGGTTCTTAATGTGCTGTACACCCTACGAGTAAATCGGATAAGCCAAGATTACAAAATGCAGATTGTACCAGGATGGCCATTGGCTACGTTTGATCGCGATTGGAAGGAGCGCTGAAAAAAAATACCTGCCAATCGGGCAGAGGAAGTTGGTTACTGTCATTATTGCACTCAAATGACGAAAATAACATAGCCTATGTAGTTTATGAAAGGTAACCAGTCGTTCCTTAAAACGAACAATACCTGATGACCGCACTTTGAAAATTATAAGCCAAAATTAACAACACAACCACGGGGAATTATTACACTGAGCATTTCAGCAATACCAAATGCTTTACGCAAAGTAATTAGAAGACGCTGTAAAGTGCCAGTCCAGGCTGTGGGAAAATTTTGTTGATACAACACTGTGGCGTCAATTGCGCTCCACTGTTAATATTACTGGAGGTCTCGTCATGAGTGCCTAAAGCACTTATTCCTAACCTGGTAAGAAATAGCCTGCTTAAAAGTTTGACCGATGCTGCTTATTTATCTGCCCAAAATGCATGGAGGAATGTGAGATGCGTTGTTATGGCGACGGCTTTTCATACAAGCGACTGACGGACAATTGCCAGCGCGCGCAGCAGGGAGAATCGTTGCTTGGTTTTTCGCGAGGCGCCTGCACTGAACACGCCCGTGGGTGCTCCTGCGAGGCAACACGCTAATTGCTTGCAACTTGTGCAGATTCTTCTGATGAACAAAATTTGCTAACTCACTGTGTGATCGAGAAACCGTGTAAGCAAACATACAAAGAGCCGCTGTTGGAGTTAATACATGAACAAATTGTGGGAAAAGTATAGTGAGTAGTTAATAACCGAGTGAACTACAAGGGTATGCATTCAGTTATATAAGGGAGTAGGTCTGCATCTCAAATTCGCCCAATGATCTTACTTTACGGGTGTAAATTATAAGAGAAACCCATTTTCTGAATTTGCCACAGAAATGTTTTGGTGTGAGCCCATTCACAAATCAAAATGCGGAAACGTGATCTGGTCAAATTGAAAAACTACTGAAGTAAGATTATTCTAAAAGCAATTAGACTAAATCATGTGAAAGTAGACACGACAAATTGACCGTTACCGCATTTGCATAAGACAGATTGGAGTGTTTCTTAACGTCTTGCGTCACGCAGCCTGTTTTTCGTGGGTCTAAAAATATACCCACCAGAACGCTATCGTAACAACGTGAAGGCCTTGCATCAAACGAGCGTAATCGACATTGATATTTTGACTGTCATCGTGATTTTTAAAAGTGTTACAAACCCCTAACGAAGCTGTTGTGGAAGGAAATTGATTAGGTGATAAGTAGGTAAGGAAGTGTTAAAAATGATACAAACGAGTGGGCTATAAAACCAATAATGGCCCGATTCGTAGGTCAAAGTAAGCACCAAACAGCCGAGAGCGACTTCTAAGTGACTTCGGAATTCCAACTAGAAAGTGTTGTATTTCTGTGGATCCCACCACAAATTAGCTCATTCAGAATTACGAAATCACAATCGACGATAGCAGAGCATTTCAAATCCCTGGAATGTGCCATCCGTGAAATCATATTTTCAAGTATCCACAAATAATTGTTTGACGAGCAGCCTCAGTGGTTGAAAACCGAAGAACGCCACCTCCGTGATGTAACAATGTTGCCACGGCGTAATTGATCCCATAAGGAGCTTTGTAGCAATTTTATACCAATAATGGTTAGCTTTGCACTTAAAATTCCTGTTATCAACCGATTCAGAGATCCAATGCACATTATCTTACACATCCCCTTACTATTCGGATTTCACTTTTCTACAAACTTGAGCAATGACATAGCTGGAATTGTATTAAACGTGTGGGTAATTATGCGTCACGTCGCGAGTTGACAGGATGTTCGCATGCGCGCACAATTCCCCCTCATGAGGCCAATATTCGCAGGCGGAAATCGTCAAATGCACCAAAGGCACTGAGCCGGTGAGCCCGAATTCCCCTCGTACTTAAGTGGGGTGAAAACTAATGAAGCGTTAAGTGACTGCTGAAAAACCAGGGGCTGAGCGAAGCATGGAAACGTCATCTAACTCTAGATGAACGGATTGTGAGAGTGCACGGATCAACAAGCATCGACGGATTCCACTTGAGGGGTTTACTTCAGTGGTCTTTTTGCACCACAGAATCACTTACCTGGTAGTTAAATATTTCTATGCATCCCCCTTTAAATTTTTATCGGTGTTTTTGGAGAAAGCACGGCATGGAAAACTAACGATGCATGCATTTAACGAGCACTTGCTGTGACAACTCACCGAGATCCAATTAATCAGATTCAATAATACCATACATAAAAACTATCGTGAGTGTTGTTCCAAATCAAAGTGCCTGCAACAACACGTGTGATCTGTCCTAGTAGCAAGGCAGCAAGCTAATGTCTAGTAACAGAAATACGGCAATGTCCACGCATTTTACCTTATTGAAAGAGACGAACACGAAAGTGACAGCAAACCAAGCGAAGCTCAGTCTGTGGCGCAGTTGAAAGGAGAGGGCCGTCACTAGGACGACCGAAGGTAGCATAATGAGGATCTTGAAGACCGAATAAATCTGCCTGAGTGTCGCTGGTTGGTAGAAGGTGTCCAGGAGCCAAACGGGGAAGTGGTTGTATGGAAACAGATCGACATCGTAGGCTGTTTCATTCAGTGCTAAAACGCCCTCAAAGAGATATATAGGGTAGAAGTGTGGAGCAAAGTTGTGCCAGAAATCGACGCGTGTGAAGTGGTAAAAGTAGGCTTGGTGAAGGAATACCCATCCGTAGACGGCATAGCCGGCCCACGTAAGCCCTAACAAGGACGAAAGCGTGGCAAAACCAAATAGCCAATGCCGTCGATTGGGAAGGAGCAGGGTCACCCATGTTAGAGGATCCCCTTCGCACAAGTAAAGATATATCACGGGGGCGTAGATGATTGGATAGAGCTTGAGGTGAATGCAGACACCGAAGAGAACGCCTGAGAGTGCGACGCGACCCTTGAGAAGACAAAGTAGGCAGGCGAGAACGCATAAACCAAGGACCGATTCGGCGTTACCGCGAACAGAGACAGCCGCCGTGATGGGGTTAAACAGCCAAAAAATTCCGACCAACCAGGAAACCGAGTGGGCTCTTGAGCGGTTGTCAGGATTTTTCTGAAAAAAAAACATTAAAAGAGACAATTATTTAACCAGCGGGAAAGGGGATGGAAGGCCTCACTACGTGGGATTTGCAATCAAGTAAGTAAACTGGAACACGCTTTGCCAGCATGCAGTTGATCTATTAAGCAAATAGCCTCCTTGAAATGTGTCCGCTTTAGATAGTTCCTTAGACACTAGCCATCAAAACCACTTGACCATCTAAAACACTGCGTTTGTATGAACAACTGCCGAGGCTTAACGAACCTCAAAGTAAGACGTAATCTCAGGTTTGAGCTCCATGGCAAAAGCAGTACATAAGCGCATCTAGGTCGGCACACACCCTGTAGGTTTCCATTATTTAGAGTTAATAGCCCATGAAATAAGAGCACCCTTGGTAGCTTGTGACTAGACCAACTTGGGTTGATTTTATAGCAACTAGCATTAAGTATTGCCGTTGCAGCGCAATGCTTGTGTGTCAAGTATTCTCAAGCGCACCTTATTTTAGTTAACTTGCGTCCGAGGCACGATTGATTTATGGAAACAAGTTCGAATAAGAAATGTTAACACCGAACCGGAGCACTTCAAATTCATTTCAATTTCACCCGTTAAATCTCTCCTTGGTGGCAAACATTTAGGTTGTAAGCTTACAGTTACTTAAAAAAACGTCTCAAATTGGGCCTCCACATTATTCCAGAGGGGAATGTTTTTTTACCATATTCTTGAAAATGATAATCGTTCGGAAAAAGTAGAGCTTAAGCACTAATAGAGACTGAGTGGAACATCACGAAGAACTGTTCTAATGGCTCACCAGGTAGACGGCACTTTTCAGCAACAAGCAAACTGGTCTAAAAATTATTTAAAATTTCGTCGATTTGGGAATACTTCACACTTTTGGATTGCAACACAGGGTTATAGTTTATAAAGTCCTAAGAGCGCAGGCAGGGTGACTCGTAATTAAGCAAAAAAAACACTATGCGCTCGAATCTCCAAGTCCGTTTTAAATTAACTTTACTTGAATCCCTATCGGGAAGTGATGTATGTAAAAAATTCGGAAGAAAACATTTTTGGTCTGCTAAGTGCTTCAGATTAATAATAATTTATGGGGAAAAGAAGTTTAACCATTCACCCACACACGCTAAACAGGAACGGCACGGAGAGAAGCGCAGAGGTCTAGTTGGTGGGGTTTTCGCATTTTCATATTTATTGGTAGATGCGATAGCAAGACCCATCATTACCATCACATTGGCATCCCTCGTGTAAAATTCCAATTCATTCATACGCAATCCTAGTCTTAAGTCCAAAACAACCCCATTGCAACTAAAATAACGGTTCGTTTATCCTGCGTGCCTCCACTTCTTTCAAGTTAGCACATGTACAACCAGGAGACTAAAAATAGGCAAAACGATTTTCGACCTCGTTCGTCGACTGCAGGTGCAGCGCTTTAAACGCCGTACGATAACTCGCTGGTAATTGCACAACTTCACCTAAGTGTGTGCACAGCATTGGACCAGACCACCTTCAACAAGTGGAGAATCGAGATTTCATTACCTATAAAGTCCCCTGTGGAAAGACTTTCAAAAGTAAATTCCTTGACGCTAACTTATTCTCAGATACTTAGCATCTTGCTCGGAAATCAGGTATAGCACTTCAGCACCACGTATCACCTGAATTGGCAATGCATAAGCGAGAAAATTGGCGTGGCAACTTCTGAGTCCTCCTCAGCCCTAAGTGAACGCGGATGGGCGTTAGCCACACAGGGATTCAAAGTCACCTGTGGGTGAGATCGTCAAGAAAAATCGGTCGTGCATGGTCAACTCAAATAAGTGTGCACCAGGAGTGTACAAGCAATTCCACGGAGGTCGTCAAAATTCATACATTTTGAAGCTTCCCATATTGCGCAGCCCCAGAAAATCACTGGGATTGCCTGAAGTCAATGCACAATCGAGCTCCTAAGAAAATCGGACATCACCTCAGTCAAAGTTCAACCACAAATTGATGACGTATGTCACAAGAGTGAGTAAATATTAAAAAAAAAGATATTCTGGGGACAAAAAGAGTTACAGACAAAATTTGCCCAAATAAAAATAGCAGACAACAACCACCTAGGATTATAGAGCTGAGAAATCTTGTTTGCAACGTTAAAAGTAGAATGAAGCTGGTTGTGTATGCAGAAAAAAGAATCAAAGACACCATAATAGAGTGATCTATAAAAACGTGGAATCTGTTATCTCATTTCGACTTAGCAAAGCTGGTGAGATTTTGCAAATCAAAACAACTGGTATCCGTCACCAGAGACATTGAATGTAAGTAAGCCCGAAATATTGGACAAAGAGTCTACCAAAGTCAAATCTTGTGATTGTACCGGAAGTGAACATGCTCACCGTACGCTCCACCAAAATAATCTCACGCAGAACAATTGCGCAAAGAATGTCCGCGGTGACGAAAACCACCTTTCCAAAGGCGTACGCAATGAAGTAGTATCCCGAGGACAGGTTGAACAACGCCATGGCGTAGTGGCCGGGGGCTAAGAGGAGAGCGATGATGGGCGAGTAGCGGTAAGTCGGGCTGGCCTCGTAGATGTCTCGCCCGGCCACCATCGCCCTCGCCGCCCTCGTAAAGACGTCGTAGTCCACGTCCGTGAACCGCAGCTGTCCGTCGGGCCAACGTGTCTCATCCTGCCACACACTGAATATGAACAGCCCCAGACGCAAAAGGATCGCGCTGGTCATCAGGTGTGGCGCGAAAGCGCGAGTGGGTCCCGTTTTCATAACTTACACTGCAACTGTGACAAAACACATCTTACTGAAATACTGAAGTAAATACTACATTTTCGTTATCATGTAAGGATTTAGGGAAACATTACCAGGATTAACGTACCTGTATTCTGCAAGAATTAGTTATTCCAATGTGAATGTCACCCATTACGGGACAGACATAGAAGATGGTGCTTCTTTGTATCTACTTTCAGGTAGAACCGCAACCAGCAAATTCGTTTGAATGATAAGTTTTTGTTGCTCAACAATTTAACCAGCATGCTGTCACGTAGGGGCTTAGTGGGGAGGGGAGCAAGTACTTTTGGCGCAAAAGCGCTCAGGGGCAACTTGAAAGCAGGCTTATGGCTTCCGAACTCCATTACTCCAAAATGGGTCTGGGTTAAGTGACACACGCACTTACGACTTGCACCCACCGCCCCCAGATGCTTGTTACTGTGACCGCACGCACCACAGTTAGCACTAGAATATTTTGGACATGAAGCTGTACAACTGGAGCGCACGAGGCTACCCTTATAACACTCATTTTCTGCCATTGTGTAAGAAATTAAACCTCGTCAACACATTCACACTCGGATAGTAGCTTCATATACACATGAATTTCGTATTGCTTTAACACCAGCAACAAACGCCTCTCTGCTCCATAGAGCTTCAAGCTTGCAAACAGAAATGATGAGCAATTCGATGCCATTAAATGTAGTAAATTTAATCATTTTTGATATATTTGGCTACTGACAGGAGTAACTGACAAGAAAGGCGTCGAAAACCCAGAAAATACGGTAATCTATGAAACAACAGGTGTTGCATAGAGTTTAAAGAACAAAAACGGTCTTCAATAATAATTTACCACAACAGCAATTATTCACCAGACAGGCACTCAAAAATGAATTTATGAATGTTACCAAACCAACCGCTAAAAATAAGGAATTAAGAAAACCTACTGACCCAAGGATGCCACTAAAAAACGTCTGCCTCCCCCATAAGATCATTGATGAGTTATAGAATCAACAGCAAACCACTAACAGAAAACGAAAACGTTTCATGATTGACCAGTCAAAACAACCAATGTGTCGACGCTGCTTATACAAAATTAACCACCCTATGACGCCCCAGTTAGGGTTCAGCCGACCAATCCCTCACTGCACACCACCACGGCAATGCATAGTGGAGGTTCGCACGCAAAGTAGAGCGTGTTGGGAGAATCTGACACGACGAAGTTGGAGTACTACTGTGCATTGAACTGATTTCCCCCAGGCACCTTTTGTAAGGCATTGGTTAGTGGGGATACACGATAAGCTCGAACAGTCATTTGCACAGTTGCAACAATGAAAGGGCAATTACTCGAAAGCGTGACGTTACAGCTCATGTTCAAAAAAAACACGGATCTACCAATGAAAGCAACAAAACGCAAACAAGGGGGATGTGGATGAAAACGTACGGGTTTATTTTACGTTTAGAACGCCTGCGAGAAAGCATCGCAGGGGCAAATTGACAAAAGCTTAAATAGGCAAAATAAAAGTGCATCTTCGTTTTCAGCGAGTTGGCATAAAGGACGACTTCCCAAGTTTCTAAAATATAATGTAAACAGACGATCAATGACGAACTTTTAGTACTTCCACTGGTGCTAGGGGCGAATTTCGAGCATAGGATTACATGAAGCGTACATACACTGCGCACGCACGTTATCAGCTAGCCCTGGCTGAGTTACTCCGGTATCAGATTACTTCACTTATGCTTAATATCTCATTGGCTGCTAGACGCACATTATGTTTGTACAAATAGCAACTGCACAATCAGACACGAATCTGGTTCATTTGCCAAATAAACAACACGTCTTTACGGCCGTCTCTCTTCCCCAAAGACTTCGTGAACTACATTGCCTTAACGCAGGTAGTCGCCCGACAAGAAACGTTACTGATGGAATGAGACAACGAGGGCATGGCGTCGCTAGCAGTTAACGAAGGGACGTATACACGTGCACGGAAGATTCGAACGGATACAAATTGTGTGCTATTGAAACATGCACGACATCACCTGTAAAGGTGGGTGTAAATGTGGATGATACGACCATCCAATAGGCTACAGTGATTGTCAAAGTTACCACAACCTACCACAGTCATTGTAGTCTTCTTCTATGCTTCAAAAGGTTACTGTAATTCGTGAGACCCTGCCAATGAGCACTGGTGAAGACCACGTTGGGCCGCCGTGACTGGACCCACGCTACTGCCTCCTTTGGGGAGAGATCAAAAGCCGACATGAAGTAACAGACAACAATGAATGCCGAACGCGTGCGACCCGCTTTGCAGTGGATGTAGACGCTGTTACCGGGCTCACGACACGAGTCAATGAAGTCCAGGGCGGCGTCCACCTAAAATGCGGAGACTACAAGGTTCCTGCGGCGAAAACTCCACAGCCCCAGAGCCAATTGCGACATGGACGGGGGTCCAACTAACAAATTAAATGGAATTGATGCAAAATACTGCAACTGTTGTATAACCACAAACAGAAATAATTGCCCACACAATACGGACCTGGTTCCAATTTTGGTTGCACAGCACAACACAATAAAATTTAGCGTCTACTCTCCATCAGCCGGAGAAGAAACTGAGAAACATGGAGGCAAACACAACGCAAATTTGGTAAGGGACGTTGAAAGTATGCATGGCATACCTGATCGTTAGTCGGAACTCCAACAAAATCCTCCACGGGAAGTGACAAGTAACTGATGCCCTTCTCGGCAGCCTCCCTGGGCCCAAGGACGAAGGCTTTAATTTCAAACGGTTCAACCATACTGATGACGTGACTGATCTTTTCCTCGGCCTGGATGTTATCCCAGGCGGAGAGAATTGGAAGCGCCCCCAGCACAACTTTGTCATTGATCCGGTTATACCAAGATCGCGAGCCCAGGCTCCACGCCAGCGCCCCATAGGCCAGCGACGTGTAAAATTTAACTTCCTTCACAAGACTCGACATCACAAGGGAATTAACTGGCGACTTGAACTTCCCTGAAGAGAAAAAGAGAGCACTCGGCAAATTAGGTAGGCATTTTCTGTAAATAACCAGTTGCGTTACTACTGCTAGTCCCATAATCACGTTAGTAATTTACTTGTCTAGGGGTTCTTTAATAAAAAAATGAAATGCAATACTAATTAGCCCGATCATTCACGAAATCAAGCACAACACACGGGTACCAATAAGTAAACACGGTAAAATAGTTTACAAAAGGCTTTATTCCCCAAACAGATGAGTATAAACAAGTGTGGGCTTATTGCGCTTCCGATAGTAGTTCCGAAGAGCTACATTCACTGGATTGTTGACACTGGATAAGGCTCAAATCTAGTTGGTTCTTGTGATCAGGTTCGATTGGCCATGTTTCAATAAAAGTCTACAAATAAAAATAGGAAAGATTCTGCATTTGAAACTACAGTCACCTAAACTGAAAAATCACATTTAACTATCGATTAAACATTAAAAGGACGCACAATAAGAAAGTGTACCGATTACTTCAGTCTCAGTGCAACTAAACGACATGGATATCTGACAACCATCTTGAAGAAAATAACGAATGACTCCATACTAAAGTACTTGGAAAATAATAACATTAACTGTTCTAAGCATCGTTTGAGCATTCCTAGTTGGTGGATTGTTGTTCACTGGAATTTCTTTAAAGATACGCAAGCATAAACGGGAGCTCTTGATTACAAAAACAGAATTTTGCCTAGAAAAAGTTTATGATAACTGTTAAATTGCTATAAAAGGAGTTTCTTTCGTAGAAACTATCGACAATATAGCTTTAATGTTTTTTGATTACAATCCATTTAAACAGGTTAAAACCACCTGACTAGGAAATTTACCAAGGACCAGAGAGAGAGAGAGCTTTAATCATGATTCGATATTTGTAGACTTTACGTTTAAACACCAAACTACGAAACAATTGTCCATGAAAACAGCTATTTGGGTAGATTTCAAGATTTTATAAACATGGAGGATGTTGCATCTGTAAAAACTAAATTACCGGATATTTCTTTCCAACTCATTTAACACGATGAAATATTTATGGATCAATTACTAATAGGATCTTGACATCGTCCGATATTCCATCCAAAACTCAAAAGTGAAACAATTATCCATTTGCGTGGTAATACAAATATTTTATGGAAAATCTGAACAGAATTGTGCAGACTCCGTCATTTAAAATAGATTTGTACAGCTTTCATACATAGTTGTGCTTCAAGTAACCAAAACTGAACCAAGGTGTGATGAAATAAGCCAAACAACTGCATACCCGAACTATGCCAAGTATCACAGGAGATTTCGGAACAGGAAAGTCCGAATCTAAACATTGAGGAAGAATTCCTTGCTCGGTTACGAGCTTGGCAAAATTAGATTCAGGATGCAAAATGCAGGTTAGAATAAGTAGCCGATAAACTGTGTCAAGCGCTTGATGAGATAGAGCCTCCTGTACAAGACACGCTGGCTGCTGAAGTCGCGAAATTACATAAAGTGCAAATGGCCCGTAGTGTCGCGTCGAACGAAGCTGAGTCACAATAGTAGCATCACCAAAGTTGCGGTTCTCGGGCACGGTTTTGTAGTGTGTCCATACCTTGCCAGCGGCGTCATCATAGACCCGGTGACTAAGCTGAACGTAATCAGGACTATCGGGCTCAAATTGGATCAAGAGGAGATCAAGAACATACTCGTGCAGCCCATTCTGGAGTGCCACCTACAAATTAGGAAAAGGCTGGTGAGTAAATTGGTGAAATGATTTTGGAAAATTTCCTGAAATGTCATTCAAGGAAGTTATTCAAATACCTCAAGGTTGCCATCACGAAACAGCATTGGAGTACGAAGTCGTCTACCAGGCAAGGGGAAAAAAATTTGATTCAAACGGTCGCGCTCCGACGCAGTTGCATGGCGAAGCGTTCCATCTGCTTCACGAATCAAGATCAGTCGGCGTCGGGGACTCGAATCCAGACCAATATCCACAAAAGCTAGCTTCTGGTTTGCTGGAAGAATACCGCACAACTCCGGATTGCGCTTAATGACAGATCCGAGGGGGTCATCGAGTGGCCTTTTATTCATAACGGGCGGCATTTGCAACTTTTGTGCAGTCAACATCTCGGAAAAACGATTAACCTATCTAACTTATCAACTTTAAAATACTGTTACCGCTTGTAATTCAGCATCAGTGAGAAGTTTTATGTCATGAACCTTCTCAACTTTAAAATGCGGTTCATGAATTTTTGCAGGACTGGATACGGAAACAAGTTTCTGGAGAATATTGTGTACTCGAGGGTTAATGAACTGGCTTTGCAAATCAGGTGCAACAGTAGACAGACAAACGCAACCTAAAAACTTAATTTTTACAAGAAAATTCAAAACACTACCTTTATATAAGGTTCGAGACTTCGATACTGCAGACAAGAACATACGGACGTTTTCAAATAACCGACTTTCGAGAGAAATATATAAACAAAAATACGTGTAAATAATACTGCAGAGAATTATTCATGCAACAATCATGATCTATTTAGTAAAAAACACATCAATAAAGTTTAAAAAATTGTTATATAGATGTTTTTTATTAAAAAAACCTATCAAAAATACGTAGAAATGAGTTGACCTAAAACTGTTTTTTTTTATAATTTAAGCCAAATTACATAACTAAGTGTATAATATGTCAGTCTTCGTTACATCCAAACCAAGGGAAATAAGTCTTAAGTTAAGAGCATTAATGCATATGTGCTATGATGAATATGAATGTGTAATTTCTCCCACGTCTAGATTTGTCGGGGGATTTTAATTAAAAAAACCTGAGTGGAATGTTATATACATATTTAGTTTTCCAGGTTTTGGTGTAAGTAATTCGACTTTTTTAAAATATTGCAATTAATAATAGCTATCCGTGCGAATGAATAAATGTTATGGACTTCATGCTTTGGTACTATTCATATGGTTCATGAAAAGTGATCCTTGAAAAACTGCCGATATCTGGTTAGAGTGAATAAAGTGCAGACTCCTAAAAGACTGTTATCATAATGATTGCTGAATGCTGAATGTGCCTAAATTAAACGATTTTTCAAATGAGGATTGTTTTAATTAAAAACGTGTCGTATACTCATATCCTGGAGCTCGTTTTTAAGACAGAACATCCTACCCGTATATCTTTTTCCATGTTTGAGGTTGGTTTATTTTTAAATATTTGCTTGGTTTTGCTTTTAGTGTGCTGATTAGCAAGATTGCGCCAAGGGTAAATAGCTGTCTGTGTTTGCTCTTCACATATTGAATATTTTCGATTGGTAAATCACGATAAAATGCACAAAGATAACGCCATAGAGTACATGGTTAAACCACCTAATAAACTTTCTTCACTTTGTCATGCCACACTTTCTTAATCTTCCTGGGTATCGGCCTATCATTATTTGAACGATATGCAGTGACAAATATTAAGTAAAATTTGAGTCCATGGACGGATTCAAAATTCAGCAGCGGTCTAAGCGGCCACTACAGTAAATTGGCATTGCAGGAAACTCAAATTTCACTCGGGACCTGTAAAGTGTACTACATCATGCACTGCTCGGTGACTAAACTATCATTTGCATGACTTAATTTATATATGCCTTAAAACTGTATGTAAAGTGGATCGCGTTCATTCACTCTCGCTAATTCGATCACTCCAGCCTCCGACACAGGATCTCCCTTTTTGCAGCATATCGTCAGCCACGTGGATCCTCGACTCCCCCTTCATCAGCAAGGACATTAATTCTGGATTGTCCTCACACCAAATTCTCAATGTTAGCGCATTTTTAACACACACATTTGAGGTACAAATACACATGCCTAAATCCCACACTTGACACAACGACACCAACTTGATGAGGCCCTGATGTAAACGATTGCGTACACGTTCTCTCTGACCATTTTCCTCATCGCGGGTATCAGGGAATTGTAATCGGGCAAGTTTCAATTCAATGACACCAGCGTGGCTCAAGACTACATGCTGGGGCCCACAATAAAGTCTTTCCTAGTATAAAGGGATTAGACGCAATTTTATAGATCACCGTAAAACATGTCTACGTGAGTTTCATAACTTTATAGAATAGCAGATTTTGCGATGGCAACTGATAAACAGCTCATTCACCACTGCATTTCATTCGAGCTGCAACAATACAAAATTCTTATGCAGCACGGAAATCACTTTGAAGTGTTTTTGGTGCAGACATTGTGCACAATGAAATGTGTAGTTATTGCTGCACAGTTTTTATTAGTCTTTGTGATTTTGCACTTAACGATTAGCCGTGCCATGGACAGACTTGAATGTTTGGAGATGTGAAATGGCAAGCTCTAATGAACGAGGACTTTACGCAGACGCACTAAGAGTTCGCAACTCACTGAGAAGTGACCCAGGCACAAAACAACAGAAAAAAGTTTCAGGATGTGGTTAATTTTTTCAAAGTGTACTCCACTGTGGAATAGATAAAACGATTATACCCACACGTGACTGCACATAAACAACTCAATATCAGTGACATATCCTGCGTATTATCAAAAAATTTTCTAACAGTAGTAATAAAAAAAAAGTTTTGTAAAAAACGGCAATAAAATACGGACCTACTGATTTATAAGAGACGAAGAAGACAAATATCGTATGATTGCCTTTTCTAATAACGTAGTACTAACCATTTAACCAGGTCAGTTGATAATGATTATTTGTTTATTTATTAAGACATCGTGTATTAACAATCTGTTTATTGCATATGACTGGTAAGCCGGAAATGCCAATCTTATTCATGTTTAAATCACTTTATAGTTGTTCACCAAGTGAACATACTATGACGTTTGTGAAATAATCGTTAGTTTCAGTGTATGAAGTAAATGCGTTCAACTTTTGTTGATTATAAAAACAGCTTTGTAATTTAGAAAAATAATGTTTTAATACTCCGATTACAATTATAGTCATTGGGTCAACGCTTTCATCAAGACCGATCAGTTTGAATTATCGGTCTTCTGAATTCTAGATGGCCCTCCTGCCTGCTGATGTCGTTGAATTTTGCAAACGACATGGTTTAATTTCGTCCTATGGTTGGCATGGGAAATTTAACCAGGAAGAAGTGCGGTCATCTCCTCTAAAAACACCGCGTCTTAAAACAATCGCAGAATTCTTCCCAATGGGTTTAAGGTTCATTGTCATTTCTCTTATCGTTCATGATTTGTATTTGTCATTTGTCGGTAACTCATGCATGTCTAAAAATGTTACAATTCACTAATTTTTGAAGCCCTATTTGTTGATTCCATTTGTTTTAGTTTTAATTTCATTAATTAATTCATCTTTTGTGGCTTAGTATTCGGTTTTGTCTAAAAGATTTTCTTAACTTATTCCACACATGAATATGGTATTTCACTTGCTATTTAATTGCAGTGATGATGAGTTCATTCGTATCAGTTAGTTTTGGCGTATGTTTGTGTCTGCTTTCTCATTAAATCACAATTTAAGTGCACATAGTCGGAACCCTTATGGTTGATTTTCTTGTTTCTAAGCACCAAAGTCAGCTGTTTCTTAGGATTTTATTGTTTCAAATAACTGCTAAAATCTCTTTTTGACATAACCCAAAGAGTTATATTCAGTTAAGGAAAGATTTTTGAAGTGCTGGTGCATTTTAAAACACGTTGCTAATTAGGAATGATCTAAAAGCGCAAAGCATGTGGTCTACATTATTAAAACTAATGTTATGCATTGTATTGTAGTTGACCTCGTATGTTTTTTTAGAAATGTAATGCCCATTAGTGTGGTGGTTTGTAAGTAATGTCGTGTACCTGGTGTAAATTATAGCTGACGACGGCAGATGGGGTGAATTAAATTGCCGAACATCTTAGCATCAATTGTGGGAATAAAAAAGAGGCTCTTTTTCGCCTATTGTTTTTTTGCTTTGGAAATGTGAAACGTTCAGAAGGAATAAACAGCAATTCGTTTATTTAGTGAGTCTTCATTTGACAATTGCTGCTTCACCTATTAATACATCTAGGACCAATTGTTCCGCAATTTTTACAGTTGATGCGATATTACGCTAAAATTTGTCCACTTTTTTACGTTCTTTCCAAATTCCAAGAGAAATGCATATTTTTACCCCTAGTTGGAATATTTATGAATTAAATAGCAGTTGAACGATTCCTCATCCATTTAAAGACCCATAAAGTTCTTAATCTTGCAACATAATGACAGTGTCGGTAAAACCAAACTTAAATATATAATAAGACGGCAGATAATTTATACTCTGCTTATTTTGATATCATATTTGAAACTGTCGTTACCAACCTTTATGTCCATATGCATCATTTGCGCTTCTAGGTACTTGCATCGGGTTTACATTCCAAATAAAAAGTCGAAAACACTGCCCTTTATGGATCCCCTAAATCCGGTTAAAATGGAACCTATATACGGTGTGCCAATGGGTGGAATTGGCTGTGGTACAATCGGACGTGGTTTTAAGGGAGAATTTTGTCGTTCAAGTCTCCGTCCCGGCATCTACAATCACAAAGTTAGCATTACGGATCAGGTATGAACTAGTGGTGAATTAGTTATTTATGTGTGGCTAATGGTGGTCTTGTGTAAGTGTTGCTTTCATGTTCGAATTATAGTTTATAGTTACGGTGATGCGAGACGATGATGTTTACCAGAAAGTGCTATCCCCAAATCCCGGTGGACTATATGTCCCCCATGATTTTGCATCATGGGAATGGGGCTTCCCCGCAGACCGCGGACACTACATTGGTCTCTACCCTCGCTCGTGGACCGTCTATGAACTCCCTGAGGTTGACTTAGTACTTATATGCGAACAGGTAAGGCTGGTCTGTAAGAAAGCTAGCTTGGTTGTGAACTCATAAGTACTCGTCTGGATGTCACACAACTCAGTTATTAACCCCAAGCATAATGCAGTGTTGTTGATTTTGTCTCCACAGAGGGCCCTCCATTAGAGCATCCACAAGCATTTAACGCAGTTCCGTAAGCTGTATTTCAAAAGAAGTTAAACCAATCATTTAATGCACTCTAAGTGTTTTTTTGGTTCCGTTTTCACATCTTTTGCCCTGAGGCAGTCCTGCCCAATTGGAAGGAATACTATGCATGTATTGTAAATTTACCTCGTATTGAGAGAAAAATACTAATTAACATAAGACTTTTTTCAAACCAGGAATGTGTGCATTTTGACTCCATATCCTCAATTGCTTTTAACATTCTCTGGGTGTTGTTGCTTTCTAGTACACGAAATGCTCAAATATCTGGGTTTAAATCGGGTTACTCACTGTAGTGCGCTTCTTGGTGGTGTTCTGGGATGGGGCCATCACGTGTTTGCAATACTTCCTCGCACAGGTTTATTTAGGGAGTCCGTGTGAAGCTTCTCGTTTATGTCACTTTTGCTAAGGACATATGTGTCTTGGTAGTAATTGACAGGAATAAATAGCTTATCTAATAAATTAACTCATTCAACTCAAAACTTCGTAACTATGAGTTGAAGATGTACGTGACTTATGTGCTTTTGTTAGGTGAGTGGGCTAGCTCCTCCAGTGTATATAACTAATATGCGACAATGATTGTATTACTACCGATTTTTTGCAAAATTATCCGCTCATTTTGTCGAGGAATACTTTTATGCACAAACAACTATCCGTGTTTGGGTTTCTGTTCTTGTTTATTTTTTTTCTAAACTTAGGCTCCTTAAGTAAAAGAAGGAGTCCCCGAACCTTTACATTATCCATGGGTAGGGTTTGAGCTTCACAACGATAAAGTCCCTAGTTTTGTGATCCTAGGCTTTCTACTCAGATCCTTCATGTAGAACCTAGATCCATTTTTCGTGCAGTATAAGGATAATCTGCTTTTGGCAACGCCTACCTTGTTTCACCCTCCCTAAGTGGTGCCTTATAGAGTGAATTTTTGCCTTTGAATCTAGATTTCTCCGATAATTCCACACAACTACAAGGATAGTTGCCTACCAATAGGCGTTTTCCAATGGACCGTTCTCAACTTCCATCCCACTCTAGAGGCGCATGTGTCAATAACCTTGACTTGGCGTGGTCCGCGCTGCAAGAAGCCTTCAGCATCGTACAAACATGGGCAAGCAGGGTTGGTGTGCTGCGACAGTCAGGTGGTAAACTGGTCAGTTAAGAAGCTAAAAGATGAACTCACCATTCCCTTCGAAAATGCCATTCTTCGGGGCTGTCTAATGGAGACGCGGATTGGAAGCTTCATGCCATGCTGTTTTGGCATTGCTGCAACCTTTTCAAACGAGGTTTGTGTTGCAACCTAGCATTTGTGCAATCTCAAATGCACGACGATTTATTCGGTTTGCGTGTCATGTGTCGTGTTCAGGTCCCTTGCCACAAACATGGTTGTTTCACCTATCACCTAGTTTGGTTTCATTGTGACAGAATTAGCGTGAACGAAAAGAACCTAGTATGATTTTTTTCTGATTATTTCGGTGTTATTTTATTCGACCGAAACTCTGATCTGAATTATCACTTGTTATCATCGTTCCAAATGACTTTTACAAATAAGACTGTAAATTAAATTACCATTCACGTGTGCGTTCTCGAAAAAAGACAGCGAATATCGCAGTGTGTGCTCACGGAAAAAAAAGTTAGTAAGATGTTAATCTCCAAGATTTTAAATAGTTTTCAATTTGAAGCTGTGGACTAACGCCAACAAAATGTTTGCCAAGATTATACTTGAATACATTGGCAGTTTCGCTGTAGAATCCACTCGTCCTTTAGCGGCTTCTTAAAAGAACCAGAAATCGAACACGTGGGTTTCATAAAGCTATTCCAAGGTGACGCCAGTTGCTTGGTAATGAGTGTTTGTTCACCTTTGGACACGTGTCCCCAAGAGTCAGTGACACAAGCCACTTGGCATCGGAGTGCTCTGTTGGGCGTCCGAATTGTCTCCTATTCTTGTCTCTGCCTCCACAATCTCCCTTCGTTGTAAAGGTTCACGTTACGAGGTGCACGGGATTCCGGTATAAGACGTCGTCGAAATTAACCCGACACGATCGTTTGCATCGCGTGGAGTCCGCCCAGTCAGAATTCACTTCTTCCCATTCCTTTGATTCCTCGCGAAGACATTCTGATGTGCTTCAAAGACCTCACACATTAGCGCCCTCGGCTACCCAATTCTGGATCAATCTCAAAACCGCTGGAACACTTGACGATGATGTCACGAGTAAGGTTTATGTCACTTTACTTTTACTGAATATACTTATATTCGTTTGGTTGATTTGGAGTTTTCTTCTAGCGTGCTCACCCCAATATTCCATAAAGAAACTCGGAAGCAATCCAATTTTGATAGTTTCAGTGAACTCATCAGGAAGCCTTGAAAATTTACCATGTAGTTGCGGTCTGGGGTAATTGTGAGGATTATGTGCATATGAGTCAGTTTTCGGTTTACTGTACTATGCACGATGGGTGATGTGTGTGACGGTGTTGATGCTCAAGCGGTTGTATTAGTGGGACTATTAGTTCTACTTGCCAAAAGCTGCAGAGGATTTTTAGAACGGTCTGCAAACCAGATCTGGCTCGGCGCCAATCTGTTCGTTGCTCCTAACTCGTCAAATTACTTACGTCTTTGATTTAAAATCCTTTTTTGAACACATTTCTAGTGCCCTCGTTATTTGTCAAAAGACATTTTAAGTACAATTTTATGCTAAGTTGATCTGGTTCGGTTGATTGGACTTGCATTACGATTCCACGGGTATTGTTTTTTTGATCGATAAACTGACTTTTACGGGTTCGCCGAGCAGCTATGGCCTGGTCTTGAGATCTGAATCGATATTTACGCAAACGAAAGCCACACGTTGAAATGAGTTGTAGGATATTTCAACCTCAATCGCTCTAGCCCACCAATTGCCTTGTGTACCTTTAAAGCACGACTTGTTAATTTTGACTGAGTTTTTAGCTTCTCAAATCCCACAGCTGAACGCTCATCTGAAGCGATGGAAGTGTTAAGCGTCTTATCTTTATGTATGACTACCCCATTGCACTATGATTTTAGCGGGTTGTTTCGTGTGTACACCACTCTCTGCCTCAAGTGGGCTGGTTTGCCTTGGTGCGGTGTATCTTTCCTCAAACCTACTTTTATAATCTAACGAAGTATTGTAAGGGCTAAAACTTGTTAGCTCCAAACGTGCTCTAGCTGTTCCCACAACTGGATTACTTGAGTGCTGGACTCTGCTCAGAGGTCACCGTTTGCATTGCATTTAGCAAGGTTTTGCCTGTATTTTTGTCTACAATCATAGCGATAGCCTTCACCTAAGCGTGCTCACACATTTCATCATCATTGTTGGTGGTTAGTGCATTTGATTCCTCTTGGCATCTGATCGGTTTACTGTATTCAATATTGTCAAAAGTTCCCATAGCCCTGGAGCCTAGTCTGTCAGTTCGTTTTGCTAAAGAGGTAATTAGTTTACGAGACGGGAAACAAGAACATAAACTTACTTATTTGAGTGCTGTAATACTCGGCGGACCCGTATTTGCTTTCCAATGGCGACCACATTCGAATGGCATAATCCTTGATTTGTTTGTTTTTAAAGTTTTTAATCAGTCTTTAGGAACTTGCGTCAACGGAGGACTAGGAGTAAGTTTATCTTCTCATTGTAGGCTTCCGTCGAGAAGGCCCTACTAAGAGCTCTTCCAAGTTGGTCATGGCTGTATGTGCAACCTGCATTGTTCCGCCCGCTTCGTCTGGCACCGACTCTACAGTAAACCACCATGCAGGTCATTCTAGACCCGGTGTGGGGAATCTTGAGTTCTTCGTCACTTGGCATATCCCTCGGATCTACTTCAGGTCCGCTGGTATACCCTATCGACGGTGAGTTTCCTCATTTTCACGTGGATCAAGGTCCCCTATTTGGGATTTTTCTCCATTTTTCCCCTCGGAATCGCGTTTATCAGATAGCTGGAACTTAAAACATCACAATTATCTATGCCCAATGTGCGAGTTTCATTTCAAATTTGATAAGTTATAGTTATTTAAATTCAAGTCTCCGAACGAGGATCGCTGTCACGACCTCATTTGGAGGCAAAGTTCTTCAGATAACCTTGTCACGATGACTCAAAAGTGTCGTCCTGTAAAAATTGTCTATAATTAATATAAAAAGCATTTTAATTATATTAGGTATGTATTCCATATCCCTCATCGCCACTTTTTACCACTGATGTGTTTTTTAGTGCCATTTGTGGGAACCTCAAAATCCTACATGATGATTCTAATGTAATCAGCTAGCCTCATTATTTATGATGGTATCTTATACCGAATCTTTGTAGCTTTATAGTATTTCTACTTAGTAATTTGAAATCAAGAAAATCTTTCACAAATATCGGAGTGTTCGCATTCAGAATCGTTAGTTGTCCCATTGAAAAGATCTTATGATTGAAAGAATTCGCTCTCGACTTTCATAAATGGCATAAGCTGCAATTATTTAAATTAATTTGTGTGCAGGGTTATTTTCGGCATTTGAATTTGTCAAGTGTTGGAGGTGCAACGAAAACCATTTTAGATGTTTATTTGGATTGCGGTAATGCCTTTAGGACAGTTAAAAGTGCTAAGGTAGGTTTCAAAATGACGCCTTCAATCTAAACGATGCACTTCCGGTATTAGCAATGCCTTGTTTCGTGATGCAGTGAACAATGACCCGCAAATTGCCACCGAACGGACAACCGAAAAAAAAATAAATATTGACCGCAGAGCAATTTAGTGAGGAGAAAACTGGAAGTGTGGAAGTGAAAGAGCGCAATCCAATGCACAGGCTGAATCACATCTCTTGATTGTGTTGTCGGGTCTTTAGATAGTAGAGGAAAACTTTTCCGAGCTTTCATGTTGCCGAGTAATAACTGTGAATACGTACTGCCAGAAACTCGCTTAGACCCATATTAAAATCCAGGTAAAGCGTTTAAATTTTGTCAATCAAGAAGGCATTATGTCTCACCATGACAACGCTAGACTACTTCTCGCTCAACACACATTGTAAAAACGCAAGGAATTAAAATGGGGACTCCTCCAGCACCCACAGTATTCCCCTGCACTCGTTCTCTTCCGATTTTTATGTTTCGTTCCCAATAGTCAAAAATCTCGTTCCGTGGGAGAAGTTAAAATCTGCTTCACGGTTTTCTGTTGGGAGCATACACTCAGCTTATGCAAAAATTAATTTCGCGAAAATGCGGAAATTCCAATGTCGGTAGTAGCATTATACGGCTTTACTATTCTTCCTGAAAATGTGGTGTATCTTGGCTTCAAACTGCTAACTTCTTGTGCGATCACCCAACATTTTGGCCAAAGGAGGGATTTAAAATATCCCACTTGTATCAAAGAACAGAAACACTGGATGTATGCGTGGATAGGGTGAAGAGTGAGAAGCTAACCGCAGAATAGGTGATATTCATCCATCCTTTTACAAATATTTATGGTAACAGTTCTTAGTTAAAGCATGGTGTCTCTGGGATTAGTGCTCACTCAACATTGAAACTAGCCCTACAACTTCAACAGGCGCATCATCTGAGTTAGGGACTCACTTTCCGATTCGCCTCAGTGTTACCCCTTACGATACCGGTTTAACTACATTACTGCCCTGAAGAATCCAGACACTATTGATTCTGCACCATTTCTTCTAAATTATATACGTGCCACCAAAATCTGCACCTGATCACTTGTGCAAAAAGTCGCCTCGGTGTCAGTCTCCTCCCTCGTTCTGTGGGAAATACACTGGTTTATGTGAACCAGGTGTGTATTTTACGAAGAAAATCATTTTGTGAATGCACGAATATACAGGTGGGCGGCACCGTTGCTGCATTAAGTTGAGAGTTATTGTTATCAGGTGTGTGCGTTGCTGGAAACACACGCCTTATTCTAAAAAAAGTAAATATTTGACAGTTAGTTGGTTTCTTTCATTTTACCACACTTGGGTGTGAACTAAGCCTGTGTGCCTAACTTGCACAGTCCTAACCTCTGCTATTTCACTACCACAGAGTGTCATGGGTGGTCGCACAACATGAATGATGAGTTCATTTTGAGCGTTGGTGGTTGACATTAGCCAAAGCGTGGACTTGTCGACGACTGGCAGAAGACACCGATCACGACTGAACTCGATTGGAGTGTGTTCGGATTACAAACTTGTTTTGCGTGATGAAACACATCAACAGAGTGCGTTGTAACAAAGCCGCACTTCAGTCGTACAAAAACAAACGTAGTTTCGTGCGTGTTCTGCCCCTCAGTGCGAATGTAAACCTGTCACAAGCGAGAGGAAAACATTACCTGGGTGGATGTGACAAGACTATTTTGAGAGGAGGCTTTCGTCAGTCGAGTGGTTGATTAAACATGAGCTCTTTTTCTAATATGAAAATCAGCACGCACCCATTATCGGAGGGGAGCATAAGTTAGAGAATTCGGAGACGGGGAAAAGTAGTCAATTCCAAATATGTGGAAGTCGTTGGAAGGGAAGGCAGCTGACTATTCCTTAAACGCGTCGATATACGCTAGCTTGACTTGAGGAAAGGCTGAAAAGATGTACCGGTGAGAGGTTAAATTGAAAGAACATTCTGTGGGTATTCCATGTAGTTGCACCAAAATGTTGAAAGTTCACTCTACGGTTGAATCACCACCAACTTGCTTACGTTTCTTTCTACTGTAGCCATTTGTAGGCTCCATTTGTTGCTAGGGTTGGAGTGTACGAGGTCTCATTTTGGTAGACGCTGTAGCTCCATTATGTAGTAATCCAATCTAAACAATACTCTCCAACTAAATGTTCTACTTCTTTGTGTTATTGAAATGCAGTGATTTTTGACGAGGACAATTCGTCTATCTAACGTGGTTTTAGCTTTTGGAAATCAGTTCAAACGCTAGCTTTCTTGTTTGGTTGGTTCCACATGAATCTTGTGAGGAGATGGCACCTAGTCTTGGGATGTTTTAAGTCGGAAAATTGTACCCAGGTAAGTTTAACTCGTTAAGGACACCAAAGTGTTTGGGCACTTTCATTCACTATGCATTGCTGGTTTATGGTGTTCGAAGCCCCGGGGCTACCAACCTGTTATGATCGATGAGTTGGTGATGGCCTCAGTGATTGTTTCCCGAATATCTTGTCGGAATCTTTTGGGCTGTGAAGTGTAAAAGGGAAAGTTAGATTCATGTGGATATGCTTGTCGGTCTAGATGGTGTGTGTGGGCGTGTGTATGTGTGTGCAAAGCACAGTTTACTCTGAGTTCTACTGTTTTTTTTAAATTGGAAATACTTACAAGTTGGCGGGAAATGCCTTGCAAGTTGATTAAGCACTGCAGATGATGATTACAATGGGATACAGGAGCGAACCGTACGTGGACGTGCGCTTGTTTTTCAGGTCCTAAGCGTCACGTGCCACATTCGTTTCTATTACTCTTTTAACATTAACTAAGAATCCCATCCACAATTGGCATATGTCACAGAACTATACATTGAAGCAAGGGCAAAAATATTTATAATTCCCTAATCGAGTTACATTCAAATGTTAAAAGTCGTCGACTCAATAATAAATCATTGATTTCGTAGGCAATTCTCACCCCCGTTAGCAGCTGTTTTAATTTTTTTTACTTTGCATGAGTTACAGTAAAAAAAGTTTACTTTATCGTTTTCTCAAATCACCACGTCTTCATGTCGCCTTTTTCTCATACATTGAAAAATCCAGTGTTGATTTCAATTGGAAGTTTGCTTTTATTCTGTAGCCGATACACTCGTTGGTTCTCCGAAGATATCATCAAGGGGACTGAAGAATTGCTCACGTACGCGGCCAAACACTGGCAGACATGGCGAAAAGAAATCGTCAAGTGGCAATCGCCGATCCTGTCAAATCCGTGTGTTTGTCAATGCATTTACCGATTTTGTACTTTTGCGTTATTATTTGCCAGAATCTTTCTTTAATCAAGACAACTGGTAAGGTGGTTTTGTTTAGCACTACTACCCATACTATCCTTTTTGTGCACAAAAGAGTAATTGGCGTTTCGCATGAAGCAAATTTATATGACGCTGTTCTCAAGTATAGTAACTCGAAAACGACAGCGCTTTTAGGGTGAGGGTAAGCGTTCATGTCCATTGGATTGCCTCGTTGCTGAACTCTACCGAGTTGCTGCTCTATTCAACGTTGCTACCAGATAATTCAAATGACTCCAACCATTACATACATTGACCTGCTGGCCACAGCACGGCCCTTGGCTGCTGATGCACCGTTAATTGGTTTAAAAGCATTTATGCATGTGCACCCATCTAATTGTTTTTTTTTCAAACCATTCTGGCCTCGAGAAGGAAGTGTGTTGCCAGTCCCAACTTGTTATGTTTCAATACACTCTCGTCCGATTTTGTCATCATGGAGATTGTAGGTTTGCACACTTCCACCGATACTGATGATGAGTACAATGTCCACTATTATGTTTGTAGCGATTTGCCAGATTGGTACAAATCGGCACTCTTCAATGAGCTCTACTTTGTCTCTGACGGTGGGACTGTGTGGTTGGATCCCCTCCTACACAACAACACAGATAGTTGCGAGGGTGAATGTGTGCCACCCATTGACATGGTGCGTTCACGTAACCCCTATGTCAACCTTGATCCGCTTAATCTCACTGGTCGCCAGCCCTCTAGTCATCATAGCGTCGATCACCCCAACGCCTTCCATCATCGCGCGAAACATGGACTTGAGATGGGCTTATTCGCCTACCTTGAAGGTTGGTTTGTCGATTTAAAAGTCCCGGTTTATGCTGCACGAGGTATCTTGTCAGTAACCGGTTTATTTCAAAAGACTATTGAATGCTATTAACACGGCTCGGTTTGGCATTTAGATGTCTATTTCTCGTAAACGTCTTGGGGATGACATTTCCGTGTGCAATTTTAACTCAAGCACAATGGAAGCCTTTTACGTCCCCGGTGTGCGGTGTCGAATCACATCGGGATCACTACATTGCATTGACTCGATTTCACTACGGCGGTACCCTCTTGATGACTGACACGAAGAGTTGGTAATTGTAGTCCACATTGAGCCTAAAGTAGTTTGGTCAGGAAACGTACCTAGCTTAAATGTCACGGGTTCCTCTTCCTAAATTTAGCGTAGAGTATTTAGAGAAGTGAAGGCCACATCCGTTCGAGTTTGTGCTCTCCTTTCCATTAGTGGGCTGCTAGTTCTTTGTGTCGTTGAAAGCTCACGAAGTGGTCGTTACCCAGAATTTTGTGAATATGCAGAACACTGGATTACACAAATATTGAAACCTGGCAGTAGACTTTCAGGTCTAAAACGCTTTTGCTAACCTATATGGAGCTAAAGCCCTCCAATTTTAAGTTAGATTTATCTTTCAGAATACTAATTGTACCAACAATTATGTCTTCTTTAAAGGGTTTTACGTAATTGTGCTGCCTATGGATTCTTTCGACGAATTGTAATCAACATAAGTAGTTTTAGGTAAAAGTTGCAAAGCACGGGTTTGCTGACTAGTTTTTCGCCTTCTTTGATGCACCATTTGAATTATCGTATACCCACTCCATTCATAACTATCGATGAAACTATTTTCTGATATTGGCACTTATTTTTCTACTTCTGACTCATTTTTGTCATGCTTTACAAATGAGGTGTTAATTTTTCACTTTAAGCAGTTCACAGTGGCTAATTGTCTTCGCTTTTTCATGACGCACACATTCGTAAATTTACTCGATTTTGTAGCTTTAATCACAACTTTGCGAATATCTAATGTGGAAATGTATAGGTCAAATAAATGATTGCTTCTCTACGATTTCGCATTAGGGCATAGCAGTGCCAATGCGACTCTTTCACATTTGCGTTTTCGCTGCGTTGTTGCCAATGAAATTACAGCGTAAAATGTGTTAAGCTCCATCTTGAACCGCCCGCTCTTGTTGGTAACGACGCCGGTCGGAGCAGGTCCCTCTGAGGCATTGTTGCTCCTCATAGAACTACAATCCTCCACGAATGTGTTCTTCACTGACAAGCAATTGGGAGCCGTTTTGCAAGAAATTATGTGGTCTGCGTTGAAAAATGGCTCACCTACAACAATGGAGAGCGCTGATTAATTACAGAAGCATTTGATTAACGTTTCGACACTTCTTTGACCTTTTGTTAATTGGGTACTACATACAGTGACAGTGACTGTTTTGACACGCCTTTGAACTTGTGTTAATTGATTGCTACTTGTGTCAGCTTTTGTAAGCTTCCAACTTAAGTGGACAGTATCTAAAGTACATTTATGGGCTTTTGCCCTACATTGGCTACAGCCACCTTGAAGTGGAATATCTTCAAGGTTATGTTAAGATACTGAAAGCAAGCATAGTTTGGTAATGTTGAGCTGTCCACCTACTGTTAGTTCCTGATGCTTACGTGTTTATATTCGGTTAGGTTCTGACTCTTTCGTCATTAAATGGATGTGTTAATAGCTGCAATCAATGGGACATAGCTAATCTTTGCACGAATAACTTAGATTATGACAACGTGACTCATTCAGCTCTTGTGATTTGGTTATACGTAGGTTCGTTTGTTACGCACAGACGTCATTTAGGAACTTTTTAAAACGTTCTAGGGCATGAATATCGCATGTTCAATACTTACGACGTCCACTTTAATGCATCGTGGGCGTTAATTCAGCTCTGGCCGAAGATCGAACTGGCAGTGCTCTACGACTTGGTCGACATGACGGTGGCCGAGGACGCCACGCCTTCGGTATTCCTCTACAAAGGCCAAAAAGGACTTCGGAACACGCGACTCTGTGTGCCTCATGACTGTGGCGACCCCGAAAAAGAGCCTTGGTATAACGTCAATGCTTACGTTATGTATCCCACTGATAACTGGAAGGACCTCTCGCCAAAGTTAATTTTAATGGCTTGGAGGGACTGGAAATTGACTGGTGACAATAATTTCCTGCAATATGTTCTTCCAGTTGCTGTCGTAAGTGTCATTCGCCTTTCCTGTCTTAAAGAGGTGACAATAGACCACTGTTACGTTCTAAAAGTAGTCGAATCCCTGCCTAAACGCAAAACCCTTTAACCTTGGCGGTGTGTTTTACATCTTAACTCAAGTTATAGACCTCAGTAATTTACTTGCGCGCGGCACTTAGGGCGACAGGTTTTCACCACTCACGCGTTTGACCACTGGATGAAATTCATGCAAACGAACCTTTCTTCACTTCCAACTTGCCATAGCTTCGGTTTAGTTTTTATCGATTTAGGTGAAATACACTCGGTAACACTATTGACCAACTACCTCATCAAAACAGATAATAAGCTGGCAAGTGGCCTTACCCTCATTTGTTAGATTGGGTCATCGAAGTTAGAAAAGCAGGTTCGTGTGAATATTTGACCACTTCGTTAACATTGGACAATAACAACTTTGGATTAATCACCTTTTTGTGTGTTAGGCGCGTACTAATTCTCTCTACATTTTTACAAAAGCAAAACCCTATGCTCAGATACAAAGATATGATTAAAATGTACGTGGACTAAAGTCAAAGTGATAGGTGCAGCTAGTACCGAACCACACTGAAACGCGATTTCGCGGTTTCTTCATAACCCTGAAGCTGCGTCTTCAGTTTTCGTGTGCGTCGTTTCCTCTGTTTGAAGATACCTGGAGGAGATGCATACTTGTGTAGCACGCATAAATCAGCCGACAAACGTTTTATTTCCAGTAAGCATGTTGGAACGTTGCATTCTAGGCTTCTGTGCAGTTATGTTTGGAAAAGTGGGATTGTGATGGCGATGGCATTATTGAAAACTCCGGATTTCCCGATCAAACCTACGACACCTGGAAATCAAGGGGCTTAAGGTAAAGTATTTCGATTCGATTCGTGCATGCTCTATCTCTGCCAGGTTTTTGCTTATCAGTGATCCGTCTTCGCACGTCACGGTCATCATAGTTTCTTCACTGTTTTGAGAATGAAGGGTGCTTGTCTTGATCTTGAGGCTTGGGCGCTTGTTAGTGGCCTTTGAGGTCGTCGTTGTGGCTTGATGTACGACGAAGAACCCAGAGAGGAAGGCAGGATGGCAGCAAGATGTCGACTCAGCCATTGTACCCGAAATGGCGTGTAAATTTAGAGATTGCAAGCATGCACGTGAGGGCCTTTACAGATGGAGGTTGTTGTGACCCCTACAGCTCTGCTGAACTGGTAAATGTACAGGTATATGAACAATGTGATGAGTAGTTAAATTGACAGGTTCAGACATGTCGGCATGACCAATGGGCACTCTGATACAGGAGGGGGGAGGGGAGTTTGGACAGACCGACGGGAGGGGTGAGGTACCAACGCACCTTGATATGCGGCTGTGGCGATGATGGACATGTAAATCAACACATGCTATTACTCTGTAAATTGTGTCAAGAGCTTGTGAGAATGATTATGAGTCATGTTCATTTTACACATGTCGAACCGTATTTGCCGCTGTAGGGAGCCTTCAATTTCTCTTTAGGTATTGTAAATGGTTGCACTTAGATACATTAATGCGGGGATGTTCTGGTGTCTGGAATTCCTCGTACTCAAAAGCCGCAAAGCTCTTAAAATAAATGTCCATAAATGAATGTTGCTTCTGGTCTCACAAACTCGCTTTTACCGCAGTGCGTGAATTACACCCCTCGGCCACCGCCAGCATATGAGAAATAAGGTGTTTTAGCCCGAAGGAATGGTTTGTGTTTTCAAAACAGGCGCTACCGTGCATACTGCAAGGTTGAATTTGTTTAGGTCACCGAGAAGGGGATTGTTCTCCTTGCAACAAAACCTTCGTACCTTGACGTCGTCGGCTTATAGAGATTTTGCTTGCGTTTGCGCCTAAGGTTTGCATCTGCAGAGCTACTTCGTCAGAATACGCTCAACTTTGAGTGTGAACTTCCATCGAGATTCAAATGCCTTCCCTGGTCGGCTGAGTTACCGAGACCGCAATCAATGTTCATAAAGCGAACGTTATCTTCCTGAAATTTACATGGAAATAGACTGATTTGTGCTAAATATTTTTGTCGGAAAGTCGATCTGTTCACCTAGGTTCACAGATAAACGTAGTCAACTGCTCATTTTGCGCATTTTGAAAGTTGGTAGATCAAATGCTTGTCATAAATATGAAAACTAACAGGTAACTGTGGTAGTTCGCTCTCACATTTTTGGGGCTTTTTTTTACATTTTACGCTACAGAAGTTGACAGCTTTAGCTGCGACCGTTAATAATTAAAAGGGTTTTGGAGTGATGGGTGATTCACTTTTGTAAGCATGCAGTCGATGGCCTAATTATTTGCTGCTTCTTTACAAGGAATTCTCCGCTCAAAACCCTTCTGTGCTTTCTTGGGAGATCAGAATATGTTGCAAGATTTGAGTATGCCCATTTGCATGAACCTGCGTTTATAATAACAACACTAGTGCTTCTCGTTTGATTTACTTTAGTATTCACATGCATGGCAAGGGGTGCTTTTTTTGTGTGTATTGAGTCAGGCTGATTGTTTGAAAATGTTGTTGAACTTTAAAGACAGCGGAGGGGTCATTGCAGAACATGGGCGATCTGAACTCAAATCGGCCAAATTCATTCAAATTTTAATCACCTTAAAAGTTATCTAGTCAAAGTGACTGCCTGATGCCTGGCGGAGGTGTACCCGCCTTCACACGGTCCCACATCGAGAATGTCACTTTCTCCGATGCTCTTTTTCGTTTAGCGCGTACGTAGGCGGACTCTGGCTTGCGGCACTTTACGCTGTTCATGATATGCTCAACCATGTAACTGAACGCCCTCCCCTTGGATTGGTCTCTCACTGGCCCGAAGTCGACGATAACCTTTCTGGGCTGCTTAAACGGGCTAAATTTGCCTACCATGATCAACTCTGGGGAGGTGAGTCTTCAATTGTAGCACTGGTTTGTGTTGATTACGAGGTCTCACCATGGTAATCAAAATTCCCCACCTTGGTGTCGGATTCCTCATCTCTTGTGCATTTATTGTGAGACCAGGAAGGTGGTGGTTCACGTCATGCTATGTGTAGCTCCTGTCCTGGGTGTCAGGAAATTTCATGTGTTTAGTTTAACACCACGTAGATGCAGACAAACGCGCGCTTTGATCGGCATGATTTGAAGCCGGTATGATTCGGATACAAACCTTTTAACCACTGATATGCAATCATGCTTGACTAACAAGTACAAAGATCCAGTGGTGGTGGATCCGCATCTTTCAGTTTCTTACACGACGCCCATACTTTTTTTCCTCGGATGTTAATTTTGGAATTGCCGAATTTTGCCTTTAGGTGAATTCTACCGTTACGATAATACGGTTTCATTCGGCTCTCAGAACAACTCGGTGATGGCCGATCAACTGAGCGGATACTGGTTTCTCCGCATCGGTGGTGCTCCAGCTGACGCCGTAATTTCATTTTCCCAATTGCACTCCACGCTTTTGGGCTAGCTGGCGCCTCCTTTTGCTCTCACCTTGGAGTTATTTTTTATTAGGCCCTAGTTCATTTTGTGGAGGAGCTGTATCACTGAATGACAATAATCGAGAATTAATTTGATTGACATTTATTAAAAAGTAGAAGCTCACGGTTTCTGTGTCACTCTGCCCTTTCCCGTGTAACGCAGACAACTTCATCTATTGGTTAAGCATGCAAAACATTCGTCTGTTTTTATTGCTACATTAGGGGAGGCTTCAAATCCCGTGGAAACCACGTTAAGATTTATATTTAATCATTGCTCTGTGGTGAGGTCGTTTACTAATGCCACTGACCCACTGCAGTAGCTCCAAACAACCTAATTCGTCCTGCTCAGGTGTAAAGAAACTGATATGTCGGCCAAAATACACCCGAATCATTTCCCGGGCAAAGTCTGGTTACCGAGCTTACTAATAGATCGTCAACTTGATATTTGGAGGCTATGTAGACTTCACAGTCGAATCAAAGGTGCATTCGATGGAAGGAGGAAAGCCAGAGCCCCCGAATTCCGATTTTGCCCCATTTGGCAATGAGTTGCACCAACCAATTGTATAGATAGTCAATATTTGCTTCTGAGAACTCCATAATAGTTCGTTGTTTGTCTACATGTGTCTGCTGAATACTATTTAATATTTTGTTTGGTTTGTCGTCAGATCCTCCCAGTTGATGCTGTAACCGCGACCCTAAGAACAATTGTTCGCTTGAATTGGCTGAGTGTTCGGGAGGGGCGGCTTGGTGCCATCAACAGCGTGTTCTCCAGTTCCAAAGTGGATACCACAAATTTGCAGAGCGAGGAGTTCTGGGTCGCGGTCAACTATGGTCTCGGCTCCCTCCTCATCGCGAGTGTCAGTTTTTTTTCTGTGTTTTTACTTCACACCGTTCGGTCCCACGAATAGAACTTTGTGTTTTTAAAGCGCTGTCCCACATCCGCTATTTCTGCTTGCAGTGTAGCGATAATTGCGAATGTGTCTGTGTTTGTCAAGGTAGTATTGTATCACCCTTGAATAGGTAGTCTTAGAGCCTGTTCCCCTCGATGCAAGCAAACTTCCACTAAAACAACCGATTATTCGCTAGGCCCCATCTTAAATTGGACACAAACTGCATTTCGTACGTTAATTTGCATATCCAATTAGCCCCACCTCCCTCTTTTCTTGTTTTCCTCGTGTTTGAGCGGTCTCGTTTCAGTCACTTCTTCTTAAGAAGCCTCATATCAATTTCTATCACCGAACATGACGATTGAGTTAACCGGCCATTTGTTATCTACTGTTGATTCATTTTTCTTCTAGGGAATGCGTGCAGAGGGCTTCGGCCTGGCGGGCGCCTGTTTTGACCACGTCTACAATCAACTGGGCCTCCATTTCCAGACTCCGGAAGCTTTCACTAAACAGGCTACTTATCGATCTCTGGGATACATGCGACCGCTTGCCATTTGGAGCATGCAGCGGGCCGTCGACCTTGTACACTCCGAGCAGTCCTAAACACTCACCCATCCCTCGTCCCTCACTTTCCCCCTCCTCTGTTTTTATCACATCCGGCACTTTTTGTGCTGCATTCATCCACATCAATGTTAGTCTTTCGTTTTTTTTTTATCTCACCATGCAAGAATTTTACGCATATCGTTTCTCTTCCAAAATGTTGGATTCAGTGTACAGGTTTGACAAATATCTGTCCTTTTATCCGAAGATCAACGCATACGCAACTTGTCCAAGGTCATTTTCATATTCGATTTTTCTTTTCCAACACGTTCACATTCCTGGCACAGAGGTAGCAACCCAACTGCGTGCAGCCTTCACATAATTTACCTGCCCAAAAGCGTGGAGTGCAATTGGGAAAATACACAAATATTCAGGTTGGCAGCACCCTTGTTGTATGAGGCTGGGAGCTGTTGTTATTAGATGTGTGCGCCTTATTCTAAAAAAGTGGGTATTCGCCAGTTATTTGGTTTCTTTCATTTTATCACATTTGGGTGTGAACTAAGCCTGTGTGCCTAACTTGCACAGTCCTAACCTCTGCTATTTCACTACCACAGAGTGGTATGGGTGGTCGCACAAAATGTGCTGGGGAGGACTCCATCGCGCAGGAGTGCTTAGGCCCAACGCAACCAGTCGAAGTTAGCACCATTGTCAAGCCCTGAAATGGCGGTATTTGTACTAACATAAAACTGTCGCAATTAGCAGAAGAGAAAGTTGAGGCAGGAGACAAGTCATTGGCGTTGATGCTGAAGCGTAATCGAAAGGTGAGTTCACTGGAAATGAGAACAGCATAGGAGTCGAAAAAGTCGCCACAAAGGGTAATGCCAGGGTTAACGGACGTCCGCAGGCGAAGGAGCCTTCGTGCTCCACGATCTCACCTAAGGCACTCGGGTGAATAATGGGTTCATGAATGAGTGTTGGTGGTTGACATCAGCCAAAGCGTGGACTCGCCGACGACTGGCAGAAGACACCGATCACGGCTGAACTCGATTGGAGTGTGTTCGGATTACAAACTTGTTTTGCGTGATGAAACACATCAACAGAGTGCGTTGTAACAAAGCCGCACTTCAGTCGTACAAAAACAAACGTAGTTTCGTGCGTGTTCTGCCCCTCAGTGCGAATGTAAACCTGTCACAAGCGAGAGGAAAACATTACCTGGGTGGATGTGACAAGACTATTTTGAGAGGAGGCTTTCGTCAGTCGAGTGGTTGATTAAACATGAGCTCTTTTTCTAATATGAAAATCAGCACGCACCCATTATCGGAGGGGAGCATAGGTTAGAGAATTCGAAGATGGTGGAATGAAATATCTTAAACACACAATCATGTATCGATCCGAGTATTAAATCCCTAACCTTTTGAGAAGCTAACTCAAAAACAGCAAGCATCTGAATTGGCTGTGGAAGTGATGGCAGCCGAGTTTTCTTCAAATGCATCGAGAAAACATGGCTTAACTTTGGGAAGACACTCTGGTGGAAAGGTGCCTCAAAGGTTAGAAGTTAACATGGAAGAACGCTTGTTAGGCGTTCCAGATAGTTGCATCAAAATGTTGAGAACTTATTCTGTGGTGATATCATCGTCACATCACTTCAGTGTTAGAAGGCCCCACCCATCGCTAGAGTTGCAGGGTTCGTGGCTGCACTTTTAGTGGACGCAATCTACTATGAATTCAATTTATGCAATACACAACAGCCAAAACGCTCTCCTTCTGCGTACCATTAAAGCGCATCGCGTTGTAATGAGGACAATCGGTCTATACAAACATTGGCTGGTTTCGGGGTGAATTGATTCAAACAACTGCCTTCTCATTTGTCGTTACAGCAGGCCTGAGGTCGGGCTGCTTTCGGATTTAGCATTAGAGAGTGGTCTTAAGGGTCTTGTAGCTGAAATTTCCGCCCATCTTCAGCACAACAACATTTTTAACCAATACCTGTATTTGCGTGTAGAAAACCGAAAACTGGAAAGTAAAATTTACGATCTCGGAGTGTAAGAGACTTATTGAAAAATAGGTATTCTCTGAATAAATGCGTGAAGGTGGCAAAAGCGTCCTCCTAGGCATTTCTTTGATTAGTAGTTCTTATGTTCGCAAGCTGGGAACGCCAAAACTCTGCTTGCTCCCGGCTCAATGTTCCAGCCAACATGTCCCTACAAAGGTAAGTTCAGTTAAAACAATAAGCAAAATTTTAACTTCTAATTTATTTGATTGAGAAAGGGTAAGATGAAACGTTGAGCTCCGAGACCAACGTAAATTCCACAGGTGGTGATTGTGATGGTATAGTTACATTCCGGCATATCGGCGTTCATTGTTAGGAATTTAACAATATCTCTAATATTCCAAATGAACCCAACCGGTAAATAGCCTGGTCACAACTTAAGAGCAATGCCTCGACAAAAAATGTAACTCACCGAAGGCACGAAAAGACCATTGTCGCCTTTTCGAACTCCTTAGCCATAACCACACCTTTGTTGATAATCTATAAATAAATTCAAAAAAATCTTGCTTTCTGTATATTTGCACGCTGCTGACCCAACAAGTGATGATTATGTAAGTTAATGTGTCATCGAATTAACTCCAGGATTGACATTATTTAAATGCGCATTCTTGACTCACTCAGGAAATCATTTACGAGAAAACAATCCAAAGGGAATGGGAAAAAGGCTTCAAACTTTGTCAAATAGTGTTTGTTATAGTTGTTAGGGGAACCAGCATGCCCCAAGGCGATTTAGCGCTAAATAGGACTTCATCAGTTTACACAACCCTCATTTTAATCCAACCACTTCATGACCGTCCCCCGCTGACAGCTCCAGCCGCGATAAACCCTTGTGCTCCTCCAGGTTAAGGTCACCTAAGACCTACACAAACACTGCATTCTGAGATATCAATTGGCCTCTGGCAGAGACAGTAAAGCTTCTCTGCACGAGGCCGTCCTTGTCCTGTACGGGAAAGGTGAGACTTGCGTCAGACAGCGTAGCTGAACACGAGCAAAAAAATAACAATTTTAAATTCTTAAAACTAAGGTAGCAATTCACTGGTGAATATGGTTGAGGAATCAGTATTTCGCTCATTTCGGCTTCTGCCTTCCTATTGGCGCATTCGTATTTGAGCGTACTTGTACTCAAGGCCAGCAGCACTAACAACATGTGGGCACACCCGAACGCGGTCTGGGCCTTTTGCCGGGGGAGCGAGGGGCTCACTGAAAGGGGTGGCGACGACAACAATGTGTTCTCTCTGTACAAGCGCGGGGAAGCCGTTGACGCGCCAGACAATGCGTCAACGTTTACCTGCACTCAGGGCCTCGGGGTTTGTGCATCGGTAAACACAACAGAATACTTGATGTTAATGCCACAAAAAATGAGTTACTGTGAGCTGGGACAAAAAAACGATTTGAGCACGGAAAAAGTGATACGAATTTGTGGTATTCGTTTTCCTCGCGTTGTTGTAAGCGTGAGAATGCACTTGGGACATAATTCTTCCGAGTTCTGAAAGAGGTGCACACAATGGCGTTAAGGATAGGACACAATCGTGGAACCGGAAACCATTTTAAATCGAAGGGCATTCTAGAATTCAAGATAACTTGGTGGATAAGCAGCTCCTAAAAACATAATCCGATACCAGAATTCCAGCACAACTCTAGAAATTTGCTTGTTTCGACCTTTGGAGAGAAAGATTTGCCTACATTGGGATCTTCGGCTTCAAGCAAACACCCCATGACTCACAAAGCCAAATCGCAATCAAGAATTTGAAACACTGGTGCCGACCGTTGCACTAAATAAGTCGTTTGGATTCCAGCAGCATTAAATCAAACCCACAGAGTACACGCTTATTCAAGTTTCTGCAGTCAGCCATTGCATATGGTTAGCTAGCAGTAATTAGGGTTTGTGATCAGTTTACTGATTGCCCAATGAAAAAAATGCGTAATTGCGTCGTTTTCTGCTTCATGGCATTGGTCTGCTCCACGATTCCACATAAACAATGTGATTTGTTTATAAACAAGCAATTAGGCCCATCAAGAATCATTTTCACTCACGTATTCCCACATATTCCCGACATTCATTTAACAGAAGACTTATTTCGGATTATGAAGTCACAGTCAACGAAAATAAACGTTAATTTCAAACTAAATTACCTGAAACACACTCTAGTAAATTAACTTCACCTATGAAACCCTGAATCCTCAATGAACCAAAGGAAGTTGAGGAAAATGTTGGAGGTAGTAGTGTCGATATTGTGGAGCATTTCGCTTGTTCGTTCAGGAGGTCCGGTTGACGTCGCAGTGCTCCCGCATGGATTTTAGCGCAACAAACAAGCCAAAAGCACCTGGTGCCAGCGATTGAAGTGGACTAATTCATTAGTATACCGAAAACAAGCAGATGTAAACGTACCTGTTCGGGAATGTGGGCTAAACGGGCGACATTGAAACCGTAGCTCTTGGGACAAGCCGATGGCACAAGTTTGTAGAGGAAAATAATCGTCTCGGCACCGGTTTCATTCTCCCCCGTTTGATCCTTTTGCTCACCGTCACCAACTAGGCAATCCTGAAGAGAGGAATTTCGCCATCACCACTCCAATAGGCATAAAAACATTTACGTAGATATGAATGGTTGTTTTGCTTTGACCGTACGAAAATCCAGGCACTCAATAACAATTACTGCGCTCATGACTTCGTGGCTCATAAGCGATACCCTTGAAGACTAAATAACGTCCGGTAACGGAGCTATTAAGTTCAAGCTGTCGGGAATGTTCAGACCACAGGGGAAAAATTAAGAGGAAACTGAAGCAAAACAAATTCTACAAAAAAAACTCGAGAGAACAAGAAGTGAGTTAAAACCTAGCAGTAATATACGGGTCAGTACCTACTCTATTGACGTGAAAACTCCGCACTATGCTCGTATTGACCAAAATTAGATAACACAACCATGTAACATTAGGTCTTGTAGGAGTGACATTCCCGGCTTGATATGGGGGCCGCAGAAGAGCATTATGCAGTGGTTAATGAGAAAAGGCAATTTCACCAACCACCCCGAAGGCAGAGGTAGACCTCTCACGGCATACAGCGAGGGAAAACAGACAAACTTGACGCAAGCAAGTCAGAAAAGCACCCACGAAAGGCATATATTTGGGACTTGCTGTGGTGTGTCGGTTAACATACCATGTGCCCGATGTCAAGCGCGCCGGCGAAGGCGCATTTGTTCTTTTGCAGTGACTCGGCCAAGTGATGATAGTGCGTGGAGAAGAGTGTGAGCGGGCCGGGACCGCGCGGCGGACATGATAGGCGTTTGAGAACGGCAGCGGCCAACGCGGAGCCGTCACGTGTTGACGTGCCCCGGCCAAGTTCGTCGATGAGAATCAGGCTGTGTGGGGATGCGTGGTTCAGGATGACAGCTGTTTCAGCGAGCTCCACGTAGAAAGTGCTTTGGCCCGAAATCAGACGGTCCGAGGCACCGATTCGCGTGAATATTCGATCGACAGGCGTAAGGCGACAGCTTGTAGCCGGAATATGACACCCCTTAGCAAAAACAGGTACTTAGCTTTATAAAAAAAACTCATACATCTGAATTACACAAAACACGTTTCATTATTTACCAAAAGGTTGCAACCCACTATCACATCAACTAGCTCACACGACTGCCTTACAGATATCTACGATTGTCACAGCAACCTACATTATTTGTTGTTGCTCAATAACAAAATAACTGTGAAAGAACACCGGATAAGACTCTGAATGATATCACATGGTTCTCCTGAATGCAGAAAGTGGGAGGCGCGCATCTTATAACTTAAACTTAAATCGATATATATTTTTAAGGTGGACAAGAGAGACCCTTTAAGTGCAAGTACTTTATAGTCTTACGAACCCTAATTGAGAACATAGAACAAAATTACTAACAATTCATAGGACCTACCTAATCTCATAACTGGCATAGAGACAAAGGAGAATTTACAAATAGTGATCACTGTTTACTGATTACTAGCATCAACCAAACCGACAAACAGTACTTCCACGTCGGATAGCGGTTTTGTGGAGCGGAACATTCCGTGCGAGTCGATTTAAGGCCTAGCTGTCTTATTTAAACGGTCGGATATCTTGGGGGAGTAAATACCAATATGACTGGCTTGTTTTGGTTGTATAATAAAGAAGAAATTGAGGGCGAAGCGAGGAAAATCCCACAGATGTAAATGTGGCAGGGTACTAGAGTAATTCTATATTGCTACCACAAACAAGGTGACTGAATGAAGAGGATTATAGGCGTTTAGAAAGGTCTCGAAGGAACCTAGTCACTGAAAGAATTAAGAAAACCTTGGCACCTTGCATTAGACAAGGAGCATTAGTCCAAGTAATCACATGCACGACGTAAAGTGACTGTTCATTAAAAAGGCTGAACGAAAGCCTTTAAACCGGTTTTGTTCATGCAAATAGATCGAAATAGCACTTAGAGTGTAACAGCTTCCCTCGTGTGCCGGTGAAGAGTGAGGTTAAAAAGACCCAGTAAGCACAACCACCACACACGGGGTAGTTTTTGAATAACCCTAGAGACCATGTTTACGTTAAGCACAATTTAATCGATGTGATCACTGAAAAGAGTGAAAGAATGTACCAGGTGAGCGAGAATGACCAGAAGGGCAGTCTGACGCATGAGGGTTGACTTGCCGCCCATGTTGGGTCCGGTTATCAGTAGAGTTGTTGCGCCCGGCTTGAAACCCGTCACGGTTTTTTCCTTCTGGTCGGAAATAAGACCCAACTGCAGGTCGTTCGGCGTTATGTCGCCGCCAGCGAAGCTTCGCATAAGACACGGGTGGAAACCACCCAAGATCTCCAAGAACGGCTGCAATTGTAAACACCGAGATTATCATGAGACAGGGCAGCCACTAGGTTGCGGTTGTGTGGAATACGAAGGTAGAACATTTTTAAACAACTTTTCAATTTCTGAATGACTAGATTAAATAAGTAGAATTATGATTTGTGTCTGCGTTCGCCAAGTTTGCCCATTTTTTCATCCCAGTTAATTGATAAATAGACAAGCATGTGCTGAAGGCAGATGAAATCGCCGATGTAGGGGCAATGTGGCATAGCATGGAGAAGGGAGGCGCACCTTTGTATCGAGATCGAGGGGGCATAATTGCGGACGGCAAGTAACTGCAGCTGCAGAGGCGCTGTAATTGGCTAATGAGAGGAGACAATCCAACTCGCCGATGCACTTAACGCCAGCCTGCCAGTCAGAGAAACTAAACAGAAGTACAATTTGTTTTTTTTAAATTCGAAATATGCTCAAGAAAGAAATCTCGAATGATTAATAGTCAGAAAAGAGTGTTCAAAGGATTGTTGAGTGGCTTCTCTTGGCGGTAGTCTAGGTGGTTGATGACGAAACCCAACCATGGTTATTGCGGAAAGGTGAATGTGGACAACCGTACATTATCACCAAATTGTGGACCATGGATACTATGCATTTAAGGAAGCAACTAAAAGGTTACAAATTCCCGAACTTGACTAATACAGAAATTCAAGTATTCGCCGACGTCGTCTATGAAACTAAGGCCCGATTAAGGTGTACCATAAGAAAGCTCTACATGGAACTGCCAGCCTCGAGTATCTGACAGGATGAATAAGGAGCGGAAATCTGTGAAGGTAAGAAACAGTAAAGCTATAGAGATTTTGCAAAAAAATAGATAATAACCGGGCGCAACTCGGATCATTAGAATGGCTTCGATGGCCACTACGCATGGAGACCTCTTTCATACCTTTGTATTGGCGGTCTCGACACCGCAGCGTCCACTCAAGTTTCAAGAATCGCTTTTACGCAACAAGTTTAAAGCCACGCTGTCCAAACGTCTACTTACTTTAAGGCAACCTGCCCACACAGAAATAGAAATTAACGCCGTAAATTCATTAGAAAACCTCGAAACTACAAGCGACAGAGGTTTTCACATTCCACCGCGCAGTCCCAATGCAAACAAGAGCGAAAATATTTTCGGAATTTCGCAGCCCCTGGTTATGACAGCCAAGGGCCCATTGTAGGAATTAGTTTATTAACAGTTCTGCATTACTAATGGCGGCGTACACTGCCAGCGATAAGTTATCGAAAGGTACTAAAATTTAGATGATTAATGATGCAAGTTGGTTTCCGCGTTTCAACTATTGCCGTTAGAAACAACAATCCTTATTGCATCAGAATTTTGCTTGAAGGAAAAATATCGTTGGGCACGTAAAGCATACTTTTTTACTGCCGCATGACACGACATAGCATTATTCACGAAATAAATAAAATTAATGGTGATAATTACTTGGCTTAGGTTTTCATCAATCAGAAAAAAACACTTAGACAATTTTTTCGTCAATCCGACAATCCGGTAGAACTAGTTTTGCTTGGTTATTGCCAAAACCGGTCTACAACGCATAAATTGAGTGACGATGAGTCAAAAAAAACTAGGGGACTCATACACATTAAGTCCACAATTTTCTGCAGCACAGTAGGCCCGTTTATCCTAGACTTCAAAGAAGAATCGAAAACAAAACAAAGATGAGCACCGTGACCAAATGCGAGACTTAGTCATCGCTCGACTAAAAGCACCATCATCATCACAAGACGCCGGATCGTTTGATGCTTTTACACCGGCATGCCCACAAAAGCATAGCCATAATGTCCACGCACTAGCATTCGAACGAAGTTAACTCGATAGAAGCGTACTGCTCCCAACAATGTACAGCAAGGTTCAGATTGATGAATACCTTGAGCTGAAGGACGCAAAGAGGCGCCGCATGATGCCCTGTAAGCTCTCTTGTTTGGCGTCCTCGGCGGCTACAAGACGAGCGAACAGTTCGTTTATTGCAGGCGGACGGAAGCGCTTGAAGCCCTTCCGCTGACCAGTGGCCTCCCAGAACCGCGGAACCCTACCCATGTAAGCGTCAGGAACTTCAATTTGAAAACGGTTCCTCCCAGTTCCAGTGTAGGATAACTGTAAAGGGGAATGCAGAAGAGCAAAAGTGCCTGTAAACCTTTGTGGATGACCACGAAGACATGCTAAGCTTTAGAAAATAAGTATGCGGATTTACTACAGGAAATAAAAACCCAACGGAGTCATCGTCTTACGTAAGAAAATGAAATTGAATTTATGGGAGAGAAGTGTTGGGTGACAAAATGAGCTCTATATCAACTGCTCAGTAGTTATTTTGACAGGAACCTTAGTAACTTGATGGTTTCTGATGTACGAGGTTCGAACTACTGGTAGTTTGATAGGACTGCGTAGTGAAGCTACAATGGCAACGCATGTCCTTGTAAGGCATATATTTGCCGACATACAAATAATAAAGTGACAGTGGTAATGTAAACGTTGTCTGCCGTAATTATGCAGACTTGCAGCAGAACGGATAACCGGAAAGTTGTCCGAAAGTGTGCATCACTAAACCACGATAATGCAATGTACTTCCTAGCGTCCTACCTGACAACCTATAATGTCACTTTGTTCCGCTAAAAAGTCCTCCATTTTCTGCTCAGCCTCCTGAAAGGAAAAAAGAATGCCGATCGCTAGTACACATTACTGTCACTTAGTTTGAAGCAATTTAATCCGCTTGAAATCAGTGGAGAGCTCGTTATTTTACCTAACGCACAACAATACACGAAGTAAGCACTCGTGTTATGCTGCCAGAGGCGTATTTCGTGTGAATAATTCGTCGAAAATAAGCATGTGTGAATAAACTGAACAAAGTTTAGTTTAAAGACAACAAAGTACATCACTGGCAAGCATTATATCAAATTTTGGCAGGTACAAGCGTCGGAAGAGATTGGTAACCCCGAAATCCCCTTAGTTGACCAAGAGAGCGATCTTCACACCTTGAACTCTGCCATTTCTTAAGCCAAAAAGCCAATAAGGGCGGCATCAGGCAAATAGATGGAACGCAAGTCGACGCATTCCATGTCCAACGACAATTAGTTACCCCACAGTCTTGGTAACGGTAAAAAACCACATGCTGAAGACCAAATCAGCAGTGGATTGAAAACCACGGAGAAAAAGAGGTCATGGTTCCAATCAAAGCCATCACGTTCGTTGAAAACAATTGGATTTTCGATGATGTTCATTACAAATACCTCAAGTGGATGCAAACGTGGCTTTAGAGTTCAGTATCACTTGTAGCAAATGTCGCAACGCAGTTACTCACTCTAATAATGTCATGTGACAGAATAATGGTGGCCGTAAGTGGGGTTCTTTCGAGACCATAATTTGGCATTATGCTTTAATAATTACAGAGTCGTTGGTTTGCAGAGTTACAAAGGAACATACCTCGAGGCCTTGACAAGCTTTGTCAAATTCTGGATCAAAACCCGGTTCCACAACAATACAGCCATCTCGTTTTGCTTGTTCGTGGTCAAATGCTTTCTACAATAAGATGTGAATAATACCTATAATCATATTCATAAAAAAAAAACAATGCATTTACGAAGATCAGTGTGTTAACGCAAGGGTATTCAGAAACCTTGGTGTTAAACTACTTCCAGGATGACTGTCGAGGGTCTGGACAATGTACCAGATGCCTTACATTACAGATGCGGTAAAGAACACACGACAGGGCCGTCCATAAAGTTCATTTTATGACGAAACACAGATCGTAAGGGTCGACTAGTATCAAATGAATGGAGAAAAACGATAGATCGCTAACACACATATCACTCCAAACAAGTCATTTGAGCTGAAAGCGACGATCGCTCAACTACCGACCCACAACAAACGAATCTAGCTTTGGTAATGCAGAAACAAAACCTAGTAGCATCGACTAGACACCTTAGGAAGATGCCTTACAAGTTCATTTAGAAATGGACTTACGTCAAAAAGAGCCAGCTTTTCAGCATAATCAGGAAAAGCTCCTCCATTCGGACGCAGGGTGGTAATCGAGTGGAGGAGCTCACACCTACACACAAAAACAAGAAGCACTGATAGTATGGGTGCTTACATACACACTGGCACTAGAAACCAGCTAAGCAAGATGACCCATAAAATGCGTTCTTGCAGAGTGAAATCGGACCCTTTGTGACCTTAACTTTGATTGGCCGGTCAGTGGATAAGATCCAATAGCCACCCGTCATTAGGTGTAAATTTGGGTTTAACCGTGATATTGGTAAGTATAATGCTTTTTTGATGAGGAAACAGACCTGGGATTGAATTGCGAGAAGTCTTGGACAATACGCATAGCTGACTTGAAGCCACATAGGGTGATGAGAAAGTCGGTTATTTTTCGCTTCGAGTAGATGGTTTCATCCACAACAATTGCCCGTGTCTCCGGGTGATCAGGTCTCGCGGCATTCCAGCCCATTATATGGATTCTGTGCAAATTTAAAAAAAATAAATTAGTTTCATTTCTTTTAATGAAAAACGACATGAAGATATTAACGGACCAAACGAATAAGCTCTCAAAACAGGACATTTGGCAGCAGGATAAGTTAGCACCAATCAAGACCTCACATCCAAGTTAGATAACCTACTGAAATACTGAGAGCTCAATTCAAACCCGTGAAATTTGACGCTGCAGTATCAATACCGCGGCCGTCATGACCAACCAAATTAACTAGAAGATGGTACCAGAAGCCCAAGGATTTGAGGTCTCGATCAAATCACCGACATGGGTGTTCTTCAGGAGAGTGAGGGAAGGATTAGAAACCCTGATGACGCTGCTGTATCAAAGCTGTCTCAACATTTACAGCAATTAGATACATAACAAAATATCTAACTGGCTAGTCACTTTATAATAGATAAGTAGGGAGTGATTACTTCGTAAGTAGACGCTCGAGATCGGGTAATCGCCTGAGGCTATCACGAATGCCTTGCAATTGCACAGACAATTCCATCAGTTCCTCCACAGCGTCTTGGCGCTTGGTGATGGCAACAGGGTGACAAGGTGGGTTCACTATCCACGATCGCAACATGCGGCGACCTATGGAAAAAAAGTAAATCGCTCAGCACTTTTGCATGCTTTAACAAAAATTTCACGAATAAGGTGGATGTTGAGGATCCAGCATTCCTCAAGACGGCTCATTACGGGTTGGGATCTCGTCATTGTTTACATAATTCCTCTAAGCACGCCACTCCAGTGGGTGAGTCACCCACGGCACCCTACTGACACCTCCATCTGTGTTAATCCTCTTCATCCATCAGGTCAAGGTGCATTCAGACAGATCGCTCGGCCTTTGGCTGAGGTATTAAAAGCTCTGTGCATGAGACCTTGCCTTGTCTGACATTAGCGTGGGAAGGTGTGGGGGCTAGCATCTGATAAGGGATCTGGGGTAACGGTTATATGAGAGAGTGTGGGGTTTGTTTACGGGCAAAACAACAGTGGAGATGGCCACTGAAGAGCAGAACAAGGCCGGATGAATTAGAGGTCTCTCAAATATTTCCATCGTGCCTTCCGTAAGAAGTGAAGATGTCATGCCAGAAAAGGGTGATGTTGTTAAACATGGAAAACCAGGGAAATGGGAATATGCGGATAAAAAGCGAAGTGATCCAAATTTCGTTGTTGACATGGTTGGTTTTGATGCTAAAACATGTGGCTATCAAAGTTGGCCTCATCAACTTTCAAAATATCTGCGAGGCATGTTAACAATTGCAAATCACAATGACTGAAAACAAGTAAGCAATCTTGTTAAGGTAATACCTGATGTTTAAGTAGTGTAACAACTAAAAATCATGACAATCTACGTAGAAATGAGAAAAGTATGTTATTTTTTTAAGGTCAATTATCGCTTTTCACGGCGTGTTTTCGAATGTAGAAATTTGCACACTTGACATGACCCAACTTTACTACCCTAGCAAAATGGAATACAATATTGTCTAACAATTTCAATGGGAAAATGAGGACAAAGAAGAGTGTACAATCTGTCTGTGCCTTCAAATCTACAAACTCAAAATCCTAGGAAGCAAAAAAATGTGAAGGAAGGCACAACAATTTTAGCTACCTTGTTAGAATGTTACCTTAAGCCAAGAGTGCTCCTACGCAAAAATCGAAATAACCAAGCGTCAGGAGTGTCGTTTCTTTTGATCACAACGAATAGCTAAGATTCACACTTGATCGACGGTTCTCGAGAGTGTTAGGCCTTAGTCTACTGAGAATAATTCTATTTTGCCTTTTGACGGTAAACTCCATTACCGTTAAATCCAACAGTCCGGAACCATCCGAAATTCCGTTTACCAAAGAGCATAACGTAATACCAATAGGAGAAGCTGATGGTATCATTTGGTTATCTGATCACTAGATTATCTGAGGGGTTCTCGAAGCAGTGAGATACGCCACGTGTTTTGTTTTAAACGTTTGGCAGAAACGCTTGGCTGGTGGCGACACTGCTAGCTATGGGATCAGCTGTGTAGAGGTGAGTGCGTTGCTTTGAGTTTACAAGTTACAAAACGGAGCTAGTCCCTTCACTGGCCATTAAATTGGGATCCTAATGTAACGAAAAACAGGTAGTGATTAATGATTAAAATATTTGGAATTTTGACAAGCGTATCCTCAATTTGAAGAAAGCGAATTCTACAAAATCTTACCAAGAACCGAATAGTGTATTCCGTTTTCTCCCAACTTCTACTTACAATGTCAATTACTAGTAAGTTGCACTTCAAGTTAAATTAACGAGCAAAAGGAGACAGTAGCGGTACTTGAATATGGGCTACCTACTGTGTGAGATAGCCTGATGTGCAGCGCTCATTCGCATACAAAGCGCGTATAGCTACCGTTAAATTACTGCTCATGGTCTCAGAAACCGAGACCTGTCTGGCATAGTCTGGTAAATCCCTCGTCAGAATCCGTTTGCAACAAGGTCCACGGTTCCCCTCTTGATTTCTTTTCGGCGGCTTCACGCAACAAACCAACTCTCGACTTAAAGCCAACAACTTGGTTGCCTAATGGCTTAAAGGACCAAAGCGGTGGGTGGGAGTTCGGCCGGATTTTTGAACGTTCATTGAATTGAATTAATCCGTGCTGTAAATAAGAGTTTTATGTACTTTTCTTGTTAGATGTGCCACTTACTCCATGCAGCATGACGATAAGAAAGAGGTTGAGGTGTCTGCAACAATTAAATAATGAAAGTAGAGGACCCAATTAACGAAAAACGCCCGGATTGACAAATCGCGTTTCACCAAGGCAGCCCAAGGCCGTACATGTTTGGTAACTCGTGAAAAACAATGGGAGCATTGTTGGGCTGTGATGTCCGAATCCCAAGATTTCCCAAACTTGAACAATTAGACTGACATTCCTTTAGAAAGTTCTCGAAATCCTTTGAACGGCACAAAACTCAAAAATGAGCACAAAACCAATTGTGTGCACATACATTCACTTACCGAATGATGTACAACACGAATCTAGTCTTTCAAGAAGAGTGCCTTCCGTTGATCCGTTGAAGTTGCTGGACAGAATTTCGAGATTCTCCAGCGTGACACTGTCGAGTACCTACCATGAAGAAAATATGACCCCGGCATAGGTACTGGGGGATTTCTTGAGGCAAAGAATCGAGAAAGGGCGCAGTGAACAGTCGGGAATAGCTTTATGAGAGCATAACTGCAGCCCATTGAGATTACTTAAAGGCACTTACGATGTGACAAAGTATCTTCAAAACCGGATCTTTATCCCAGACCAAATATTTTATTGCGGAAGATTTCTAATGCATGTAAAGAGACTATGACGAGCCTATCGCCACATCGCCTGGTGCATTTCTCCCATTTAAGTGAATATTCTCGATCATTTCACCTTGCACAAAAAACACGATTCAAAACAAATTACCATGTTCACTTGTCGCTCGTAAAAGGGCTCACTGGAGGCGGATTTCGCTAAAGCCGGGGGATTGCCAGCATCAGCTGGACGGTACTCGTGAATGAGACCCAGGGAGAGGATCTCTGTGTCGGTGAGGCAATAGTGCAGATAAAACACTACGGCGCCGAGACACCGAAGAGCCAGCTCATACTCCGGCAAGGGGGTCCTCCCAAGGGTATCAACTGAATTGAGTAGCGGAAAACGCAACATGAATATTGTAAGCAATGTACTCCATACTTTCGTTTCGCTGTGAGGTTAAAGGTAGTACGACACACGCCTCGGTGGGAGAGTAACGAAGTGGACACAATCGATTATTCACCAGCCAGGATCGATTGTGTCTGGCTACATCGGTTTATGTGGCTGTACTTATGTAAATCGCGGGAGGTTTTGAGTTGTGCAAACAGCATGAATCAGTGATCAAGAGATGCACACACGGCTACATGGTTATAGGGGATTGTACAAACACACGAGTGATGGGTGGATGAACACTTAGTGGTTATACATCAACAGCGGCGATATGTCTGAGTTAACAAGATGCACCACAAGTCTACGGCCAGTAGAAGTAGTTAAACACACATGAAAGCTCCACCAATTCTGGGGGCAGAATTGCAAAGATACGCAACGACGGTAAGACAGTGAAGTGACGGGAAAAAAGCCATAAAACAAAAGAACATTGTGATAATCAAACTAATCGCGCAAGCGGCAGCCCAATTACAGTCGAGGGCTGAAGAAAACTTGGCTGAAAGAGTAAGCGTGAATATAATGCACGATTGTGACGCTTCACGAACATTTAGACGAGTGACCGTGAGACTGCGGTGGACGTAGGGCAAGTTGATAGCGTAAGGACACAAGAACATTATCCTCATGCACAGCTAGGCCTCCCCAACAATCCACCTTAGCAGAAAACTTCCAAAAGCATCGGAACAATTTAAAATTCATGGCGATTGTGCGTTTTATTGTCTGGAAAAAGCCTTAAGTTAAGATGTCCGGCGTCAGAACCAAGCACCTAAATTGAAATTTTGCATGAACTCACACTTGAACATATTTCGGATGTAGGTGAAGATAAGGGGTCGTTACCACAGAATTTTCTCGGTGAGTGAGTTGTGGCGTTATAAAGAGTTGCATGTAGCAGGAAGCTGCATTAATAGCAAATCTACCTGGGTCAAGCATCCGCAACAGGTCTCGGGGCCAGCAACCCGCTTTTGTCTGGCGCAACAACACCGAGTCTCCTGATTCATCATTATCTTCTCCGGCGGCGAGGGAAAAATAATTGCCTGATTCCAAAGTACAAATGGTCTCGCGAGCCGAAAGAAATTGCTTCCCACTGGCCAGACCCTCAAATGGGACATCCGGAAGACGAGCCTTTAGTATTCTACGCAACTTGCTGCTCAGATTACCTCGTTCGAACAAGATCTGGTAAAATGGCACAAAACAAGAATACTTGATTTTTGTGTATTTGCTTTACTCTCTTCGTGGTTTTGATGAATTTCACCTCCTGACCCTGACACGGGAACCGACAGAGGTCATATCTTATGGTCGATTTGCGGAAAGAACCAACCCATCGGATCGCACAATTGCACTGCGAAACACTTTTCTAGCAGTTTGCTACCCCGTCACCCACATTGACAAACGTCTTCGTTATTTTGACACTTAACTAGCAAAATACGATTAGGGCAGCACCAGAGCCCAATGTAACTTTCGTGGTTTAGAAATGAGGAGAAGCATGGCGTTAAAATGCTTCAGTATTTAGGTGAAATAAGATTTGCATGTTAATTCTGGGCCTAACCCTCATCAAAGCCTGAAAATACCAATCAGGACAAATTCTCAATTTTGAGAGCCCAAAGGCTAGTTAGTGCCATACATCACAGCAGATATCCAAGAGTAGTCCAACTTGCCTGCTAGACACTTCAAGATAACTTCGAGGTAAGAAAGTAAGCATTACCTGCGACGGTGGAAAATGGGCAATAGTTGTACACAAGCGGGAGTAGTGAATATCATCCAAGAATTGGCCAATCTAGAATAAAAAGCGAACAACAGAATTTCGTGAAGGAAAGCAAATTGTTCAGGCGTGCCTGTCCTTGACAAAGTGGTACGGCAAATAAGGCAATGAAATATTTTGCTGCAAAGCGAAAAGGGAGCTCGCAAATGTAAGACGCCAGGTAAAAGACAACTGCACATTGACAGTATTATTTAAAATGTACTGTTGGGAAAGAACTTACCATGATTTCTCCCGTAGCGGCTTTTAGTAGAGCTACGCCAAACTGAGTATTCGAACTGCCATTAATCGGTTCCTCGAGAACTACCAAAAGGTGTCGGTTGAATCCAAGGTCGATTTCTAGTTCGGGTTGAGTAGCGGGTTGGGAAGACGACGATGCGAACGAGGTTTCTGCAGCGTTATCAGAAGAAATTCCGTTACGTAGAGGCGCAAACCAAGTCCCAGGAGTGATGACCTGGCATATTTCCCGACGCACCACTTTGTCCGAACCTGGGCGGCCACTTGTTCGCTTAGCCATGTCCTCAGGGGTTTCCGTTTGTTCGATTCGCGCTACTTTATAACCCTGAAGGGCAACATGGGGAAAGTTGACAGGCAAAGAAAGCCAAAATGTGTCGAGCTCATAAAAAAAGCCTAGAAATCGAAAGCGATGGAAATTACTCCTTAACATGAATCAAGTGATAGCAACTTCTTGTTTCATTCATTCGTATAACGAAAATGTACGCGTTTTTACGCGCATAATAAATACATACGCAGTGAAAACAGCCGGACAAAACCAAAAAAATTCAATCAGTGTATTAAGAAAAGAATTTTTTAAGAGAAAATTCACGGTAGCAAAATTCAGTTGCTGTTCTAGTAAACATTCTAAAGCAAAAAATAGTTAAGAACACGATTATTAATCATTTCAAATAACCATTGACTAACGCGGTTGAGTAGACGATCCGCCATTCTTTGAAAGGCAATTTCTGGGAACCCAGAATGAGCACAGTCACCTCGCATATAAGATAGACGTAACTCCTCCACAGCGATAACTGCATCCATGTGGTAGAGCTCGTAGAACTTGCCCATTTTAAAAAACAGAAGTGTGTCGAAATTCTGTGATTTGAGAATCCACCACTGGCGCAGAGCAGGCGATTGCTTCCTAAGGAATTCTTCTGGCACAAAAAGAGTTCTTGGGTCGTATTCGGGGTGATCTGGACGACGACCACATGAGTCTTTGATCCGATCAGGCTTTAGAAACGGGTACGTTAGATGAGGCCAAGATCCCTCGGTGCCTTCATCGCCCACATCCAAGGCAAAATTTGAATTTGCGGAGGCATTCAATATGCCACTTTTCGGGGCTGAACGGATTGGGGAAGAGTTTCTAACTGGAGACTTGTTTTTCCTGGCTGGCGAAGACGTGATACTGAAGGCATTAGTTAAATCTCTCGCAAAATGACCAGTGGCATTTGATAACTTATCTGAGTTAGGTTTTGGTGAAACGCACTTATTAGACAGTTCTTTACTATTTTCCTCATCACTTGAATCAAGGAAAACACGCCGCCTTTTACGCTGACTTGATGATGGTGGTGAATCTTCGTCGACAACCTAAAATCAGAAATCCTGGATATTTAAAAAAGCAAATTTAAAGTGTGGGGATACAATTTATGATTGTTGCAAAAGACTGTCAAGGAACAGTACACTGGGGGTGCTGTGGTGAAGCACGTCATTTAAGAGTGGCTTAAACTCTTCCAGGAGGATAAGATACTTGCGAAGCTAGTGTCAACAGCATGTTATGGCTGCTCACATTTTCAAAACCATTTTAAAGATATTCTGAAGAAATACAAACCCAAATTGTGGGATCTTAACCACCATTAAAAAGAAGGACGACGGTTTTGACCGAGATAACTTGCATTAAAATGTGGGGATGTCTTCGTTGGCACTTCGTCGGATTGCTTGGTACAGGGCGAAGCAACATTGGCTTCTTCATTTTTACGAGATCCAATACCTCTAGCGGGAGTTTTGGAGAAAAAACTCAATATTGACTTCTGCATCCAGATATCTAGTACACGATTAACAACAGGCGCGAACTGACGACCTTGAGCTTGCCTTTACATGCTATGGATAATTACCCATGAATTTCCTCATGATTGAAAAGTGCAAGTATAATGAAGCCCTAACGAGCATACTTACCCATAAATTAAAAAAGCTTAAAACATTACTTTAACCATCACAGCATAAAAGGCACGATGAATCATATTGAGTCTGGACCTGATTACATTGCACATGTGAACGGAGCCAAAAGAAATGTGGAAGAGAGAGGTGCTATTACGCATCAAACATGAATATGCGGCTATCCGTTTACTAGCTAGATCTCTATTGACAACATAATACATGAGTCAAAAGTTCTCCAAACAACCTCATTAATAAGAACAGTTCTCGCTCAACGAATTATGGCGAGAAAATATTCGTTAATTTATTGTAGAAATGTAAGCATTATTAGCATTTGTATATTTTTAATTCAGCTTAAGATATATAAAATTTGAAGCACCTCAAATAGGTCAACTGTACATGCACTACTTCTGGATTTCGATGACCGCTTACATTCCCTTGCTCCAAATTGATGAATACACATTTATTCAAAAAATGTAAATGATTTTCGAACGACAAACTTTAGCCTCGGATTTATGAACTGCCAGTTGGGTTGGTAATCAGTCCTCACATGACACACAATTAACTATTAGTTATTGGCTAAGTACTCACAAATTAGACTGCTGGTTTCAATAAATAGACTTTCGCTTACGATCAGAATAAAATGAACTAGGTATATTTGGCCATTTCGCCTTTTCACTACAGTACGCGATACCAGATTAAGAGATCATTAGCGCGCAATAAGGTATTGATTTTACTGCATTTGCAGCAAAGGCAACTAATCCACAACCAGGAATCGCGTAATGCGCCCTTGCACACCTATTCAAAATGCATAATCGCGTTGACAAATCCATTAAAAATTTACTCGAAGTTAATAAATTAATAAATAATAGTCTACTAATATTTGCTCAATGTGGTCCTCCTGTAAGGCAGAATTGAACAGGGATCCTAAACCAAAGAATTTGCCACAACCATAAGGCAATCTGCGTAATCTTCACAAAGCCACTACGTCCCTTCACGTTATCAACGAAATTTGATGCACTGCTGCCATTCTTATAATGCACTATAAAGCATCAAAAATATGTTGCTTTATATTTTCTTGTTTCTGAACAGAAATCATAGAAAAATATTTCAACCACCTTAAATGAGATATTTGACGTAAGACACTGTACCCATAAGTCCTATCTCAGAACAAAAAATCTGCTGTGCTGTCTTGCAATACATTTCAGTCCAGTTTTCGCCACTCAGTAACAAGGCGAGAATAAGGAATTTGCACATGACATAGGATTTGAAATTATTTTACTTCGGTCAGACATGTAAAACTGAGTATGATTTTGTGGGAACGTGATTATTCGTTCGTGGTCATTGATTTCGAATCATAGTGTGAAGAACATTCATTTACACGTTGACTGGCCTCCTTCAAGGAATCTCTGTTAAAAGAACCTGATTAGAAACACCTTTTAACCACTCATCCAGACACGCGCACAGAAATGATAAAAGTAATTATATTACGGTGAATATTTAATTTAAAACATTGGAATTAGCGTGCTTTTATATAAGTTGAACTACATCCTGGCAACATTTTCAAAGTTACCAAAGCAATTTGAAACTTGCAATGAATCGCAACTTATTGCACAAGTAAGTGGTTTCCAAAGATCCATTAAAAAAATTACCAATATCTGATATAGACCCACGATCCTAGTACCATTAAACTAATATACATAATCGACTTGTAAGCTTAAAATAATTTTTGATTATGATGCAAAATGATAGAACACCTTTTTACCAAATTGACCTTACTGTGAACCAATCAGATAAAAACATATTCGTTTATATCACCTTTTTGGAGAGTTGGGAAGGTGGGGCGCTCAGTTTGAGTTTCGAAGTCTATTGAATCATGTTGTCCAGGCGGGTGTTGACACGAGAAATCGCAGAGGCAGATTCTTCGTTGTATGTTATCAAGCGAGGTGGGAAATGAATTCGGTTCCTAATGCCTTTTAAGATGGCAGGCGTGAAAAAATATATTGTGACAAGATTACGAAACGCATCACGCGTCTTTGCGAGGGTCTTCATACCGATTTCATTGATGTGGTGCGTTTCTCCTTATTAAGAACTAGTTCCAACTGAAGCGATATAATGTTGGCCTAACAGTTCATGCGTCGCTGTTGTTTAGTATTAGTTAATTGCACTGCTCTACGCTTTTCATACCCTGAAGAACTATTTTATTTTTTTGTTTTTAGGAGTATGTCACATCCCGTGTAGTGACTGGCTTGTACGCCGGGGTACCTACTTCTGAGTTGGATGCTCTTGCGGCCGAGGTGTGTGCAAGTATGACCACAAAGCATTACGACTACGGGACTCTTGCTGCTCGCATCTTCGCATCGAACTTACATAAGGAAACGCGACGCACGTTCTCTGAGGTCATTGAAGACCTGTACAATCATGTCAATCCTAAAACTAAGATGCAAACACCTATGGTCTCTGAGGAGCTTGTTTCTATTGTCAGGAAAAACCGTGATCTCATTAATTCAACTATTGATGACCAAAGGGATTTCGATTTCAACTATTTTGGGTTAAAGGTGTGAACATTTAAAATGCTAGCCTGGATGCTCCATTAAACTAGCTGACAGTAAAATCCTCCTTTTAGACACTTGAAAGGTCCTATCTACTTCGCAAGAATGGAAAAGTTTGGGAGAGGCCGCAACACATGTTTATGCGGGTTTCAATTGGCATACATGGTGATGATCTTGATGCCGCTTTCGAGACTTATCACTTGATGTCTGAAAAGTGGTTTACCCACGCGTCGCCCACGCTTTTTAATTCTGGTACGCCCGTTCCCCAGATGTCTAGCTGTTTTTTGCTCACAATGAAGGACGATAGCATCGAGGGCATTTATGACACTTTGAAACAATGTGCTCTTATCTCAAAAAACGCTGGAGGGATTGGTCTTAATGTTCATTGTATACGGAGCAAGGGTACTTTTATTGCTGGCACCAATGGGGAATCCAACGGCCTTGTTCCGATGCTCCGGGTATACAACAGCACGGCCCGATATGTCGATCAAGGGGGTAACAAGCGTCCTGGCGCCTTCGCGATCTACTTAGAGCCATGGCATCCTGATGTCTTGAATTTCCTGGAACTGCGCAAAAACACTGGGGCCGAGGAGACTCGTGCGCGGGATTTGTTCATCGCTCTCTGGATTCCTGACCTGTTCATGAAGCGAGTTGAGTCCAATGCCATGTGGACATTGATGGATCCACACGAATGCCCGGGACTTGCTGACTGTTGGGGCGACGAGTTTGTGGCTCTCTATACCAAGTATGAGTCAGATGGTCGGGGTCGCCGAAGCGTGCCTGCTCAGGAATTATGGTAGGTGACCTCCAGCCTGCTCCTTTGTTTTTTTATGGGTTTTAATGCGATGTTTTTTAGGCACGCTATCATTGAGAATCAGACAGAGACTGGCAACCCCTTCATGCTTTACAAGGACGCTTGTAATCGGAAATCAAATCACCAACACCTTGGCACCATCAAGTGCTCAAATCTCTGCACAGAAATCGTCGAATATAGTTCCCCTGATGAAGTTGCTGTGTGCAATCTAGCCTCAATCTCGCTTCCTCGTTTCGTTGACCCTGTTTCAAGGTCGTTTGATTTTGTAAAATTGCAACAAGTAACTGAAGTTGTCACCAGGAACCTAAACAAGGTCATCGACAGGAACTTCTACCCCATCAAAGAAGTATGTTGCTTTTGGCATATTCTAGTGCGAAATTGGGATCCCGATTTAACTCAGTTTTTTTTGTAGGCGGAGCTATCTAATATGCGCCATCGCCCAATAGGTCTCGGTGTCCAAGGGCTTAATGACGCATTCATCCTAATGCGCTATCCCTTCGACAGCCCGGAAGCGGCTAATCTGAACAAACGCATCTTCGAAACAATATATTTTTCTGCGCTTAATGCTTCCTGCAAACTTGCTGAGCAATACGGTCCTTTTGAATCCTACGAAGGATGTCCAGTAAGCAAGGGCGTCCTTCAGCCTGATATGTGGGGCGTCAACACCGATGAACTGTCCGAAATTTCTGGACTAGACTGGTCGGGTCTCCGTCAACGCATTGCTCGGTATGTTACTCCTCTAGTTTGTTTTCTTCAGGTGTGTTTACCTCAATTTTTTTTCTTTCCTCAGGTTTGGTGTTCGTAACAGTCTGCTCGTAGCTCCTATGCCAACAGCGTCAACCGCACAAATCCTTGGGAATACCGAGTCGACTGAGCCGGTGACTAGCAACGTGTTTACTCGCCGTGTTCTTTCAGGTGACTTTCAAGTTGTTAACACCTACATGCTTCGCGATCTAATCGATCTTGGTATCTGGTCGGACGATCTCAAAGCGGCGATTGTTGCCAATCAAGGCTCCATCCAGCACATTGAGGGCATTCCGGACAACCTCAAGGCCCTCTACAAAACAGTATGGGAGATACCTCAAAAGAAGATAATAGATTTAGCCGCCGAGCGGGCTCCGTTTATCGATCAGAGCCAGTCCCTCAACCTATATATGAAAGAACCTAACTATGGCAAAATCACCAGTATGCATTTCTACGCGTGGAAGCAGGGTCTCAAAACTGGCATGTACTACCTGCGCACCAGGCCCGCTGCTGATCCCATCAAATTCACAATTAACAACAAGGAAGTAGATATCATTCTCGCCAACGGTTTCCGCCAATCTATCTCTACCGTTTTTGCTGCCGATAAGGAAAATCGCAGTACCGAGGCTACCTTTCCGGAGAAGCTTGCTCAGAAGACATATAAAAAGAACCTGGAAGCTATTTCATGCTCCTTAAGTAATCCTGATGCTTGTGCTAGCTGCTCAGGTTAAATTTGCGCCCAAACTGGATCTCTGAATTCCTTCTGTGTGTGAATCACAAACATCCCATATGTTATCATAATATCCATTTTTACTCCATTTTATAACAAATGTATTTGTAATGTCTGGAATTCTATTTTCTATATCAAATCAATGTCTACTCGGGTACATATACCTACTCGCACGAAGTCATTTTGTGGTCTAGTGTAAACTGGGGGTCTTGGGTGGTCTAGCCTCTGTTCAGTTGTCGAGTGGTCTGCGAATCTCAGGAAATTTAGTGCTTCGAGTGTGCGTTCCGAATGCTTTGGTTTGATTAAATGAAGTGCTCTGCAGAGTAGCCTATGCCTTATTGTACTTCAAGTGTCTGGGGTTGATTCGCGAAGTCGTGGTCAGTTGCTCGTATACAGCATTAGCTGCGAAAAGCGGTGTGAAGGACGTACGATCGCTGTCCGCAAATGGGACGACATATTTTTCCATTCTGTCTCCTCCAACGATCGGCTCCTTCGGACGGATTTTCAATGGTTGATTCATATTCCGCTGGAACTGTTGATTACCGATTTCGCCCTTACCTAACGCAATGGCACAAACCGCGGAAATCTCGCTGAGTTATGAGATGTAGTTGTCAAGTTTGAGCTGTCAAAGTAGACGTTTCGTGTAGCCAACAAAGTTTTGGCTCACGATTGTGGGTTGCTAGCATTAAATCACCAGTTAGTTTAGAGCTAGACTTCAGGTAGACCTCATTAGGGCGAAGTATACGTCTATTTGAAAGCAAATAATATGTTTAATTTGGCCTGGTCTACAGAATTTCTTTCAAAAGATTTTCAACATCAGTGCAAAAGGTTGAAATTATTGGAACCATCTAAATGCCTGCACTGGTCGAAGGCTTCTTAAGATAGGAATGAAAGTTAACCGAAGACGTATCCAATTTGAAATACACGTCTCGCTGATGTCCATTGTTACATTGAAGTATTTCCTCTCAATGAATTGACGGAATAAGTACTTTGTTTTAAGTTTTTTACACTTCAAATTGGTTGTCTTAAATTTTAGCTGGGCGTTAAGCCCAGAATTTCAAACTTAAAAAGTAAAAGTAAAAGTTTTATTTAAAAAGGAACTGCTGCTTTTGTCGATGAAATCATGTTTCACGGTGAGGGTCGTGTACCACGATCTGCTTTCGAAGTTGAAAAATCAGGAGCCATTAAGATTCAAACCAATTTCAAATTATTAAGAAACACACCATTTGCTAAACCTCTTAATGACCTTATACTTGAGTTAAAAGTAGGTTGATTAATGTAGCGACAAAACGAATGTGGCCACTTAAGGGTACCGAACTCGAGTTTTGCATCTTACACTCAAATCTTTGTCTACTATTATCCTGTGATACAAAAATGAGAATTGTAATCTGTCACAGTAATCATTTAAGAGGGTTAAGAATGGAGTACCTACAGCTGTGTAATATCATTTGTGGACTGTCACCAATCCACAAATGATATTACACAGCGTTTTTTAAGATAGTAATAGGGTATCAGGTGTTGAAGGCCCAAACGGCACCCAAGGTTTAGTGGCAATGCGGCAGTGTCAACAACCAATTTGTATAGCTGATCTTCGTGTGCAAAGCAATTAA